TTCAGGATAAGGTTAAGGGACAAATAGTTATTCACTTTCAATGCCTCCGTATCCTAGACCGTTGGGCTCATCCACGTTCTCCCCTACAACAGTGGGGATCCTCGCTCAAGTATCTACAAGATTGAGCATGGTCAGCAAAAACAACATCCTTTGCTGCCAAATTTTAAATCTAACACCTGTGAACTTCGCCAGTGCATTGACAGAGTTCGCATTCATTGTGACATTAAGATGTCCCACCAATGCAGATGCGAAGGCACCCGCGTTCGGTCTGAAAGAGGTGACAAGGATTTGACCAGGATTGCTAAAGTCATGTTCAGTCCGAGTGGGGTGACCGTTAAGGCTTTAGGTGCGATCAGTCCAACAAAAGGGGATCCCATAGTCGTGATCTGTACAGTGAAGGTGGTGATCGTAGTGGCAGTTGCACTTGGTCAAAAAAGAAAGATGGCCGGAGTGGTCTATCCAATAGTGCCACCTAATACAGTCAAAGCATTTACAACCAGAGTCTCGAAACAACTCATGTTTCCAATGTGAGCATTGAAATTGAAACCGTCAGTACCTACCATCGTGTACGGATATGACTACTACCTTAAGATTGTTATAAAATGATTGTACGGATTATAATTAACAGGAAATATGAACGACACGAGATGATAATAAATAATTTTCCAAATTTATAACTTATTTAGAATATTATAGTAAAATCAAAAGTTAAAAATACTTCTCAGATCTTCAAAGGCCTTGCTTGGAAGTGGGGACTTTACGCACTGGACTGCAAGAACATTACATGTTGAGCTCAAGTATTGAACTGGACATGGACACTGTGAGCAGCATTAAGATTTCCAGAACAACATCGAGGAAAATATGGCTAGAAACAGAATACCAACGAGGACATTATGACCTTGACCAGAATGTAGCGCGGTCTCTATTGAATACAACCTGTAAAAATTTAAACACCGTGGAAGAGTAGAGAAGTCACTAGAACTTTCCTTAAAGTAGTAGTGCCTGCCTAGCGTACTAGACAATGTGGTCTCTCTCCTCTTAGAAAAAATTGCTATCGTGTGGAGTGGTTGTACGGATCAACCAGAAAAATTGGAAGAGATAGCTAGAAAACTCAGTCGGAAAAACCAAGAGCTCTCTTAAAGAATTAAATAAGAAATGTTAATTCTTTCTTTTCCTCTCTTTTCTAATGTATGAACTCAAAAAATGAGAGGAGAGTAGCTCTACTTTAATAGACACATTAACGTTTCATCTTGTAACCTTCAAGCTCTAATAATAGTCATTAGTGCGCAATAGTGGCGTGTTAATGAAAGATCATTAACAAGTTTGTTACGGTACGCTTCATTTAAAAATTGTTGCAAATAATTGAATGCCAGTTAACCATATAAAATTAGGCTAATTTTAAACATCACATAAAAAATATTAATTTAAGATTAGTTCAATAAAATTGCTAAAATTGCAATCACTATCATATTCTTCTATTAACGGGTTAACTCTGAGAATCAATTTCTCATTAATCCTTCTACCACTTTTGGCGTATAATTTATCAAAATAGTTATCTCACATAAGAGGACACGCGTCCATTAACGGTTTAAAACCCGTTAGTTGATCTATTGATAATTATGTCTGAAGTTGGTCTATTTGATGCCTATTAGATGCCAAAAAATTCTACTCCTCTGTTCTTCAAAACACTTCCTTTTTCATTTTTTCTTTTCCACCAAAACACTTCCACTTTCTATTAAAAACCACTTTTACCCCTACTTTTTCTTACCCTATCTATCCCATCATACTTTTTCTCTAATAACCTATCCATCATATTTTACTTTTACCCATCACATCAAGGGCAAAATTGAAAATCAATTATAATTTAACACTTACTTATTTTGACACTTGGTCAAAATGGGAAGTGTTTTTAAAAAACAGAGAGAGTAACAATTACGGGGTGTGATGTAATATCAGTAATGGTCATATGAAGGAAGCTCATTCCATTTCTTAGTTTGCATTCTCATGCTACTTTGATTAGCTTATGGGAAGAACGATGTAGATTTTCTTATCGTTTTTCTAAAAAGTGTGTGGTCATATAGTAATTTATTAAAATACCAAATCTGTAGTGCAATACCCAATTTCTACTTATATCAATAACTTTTTCAGGTCCCTAAACCTTTTATGAAACCATCGCTTGCCTAATCCTCTCACACTCTCTTCCATATTCTTTTCTGAAGTATCGCCCTCATGAAGCATTAATTTTCTTTTTTTTTACAATTTTTTTTTAAAAAGAACTCCATATGCTTCCACTCACAAATTTGTTTTATCTTATGCAACAAATCAGCTGCTTCAAGGGAATAGAGAAAGGAGCAGATATCCTCAACTTAACTCTTCATCTAATCTCATTGTGCACTTTCCATTTTGGCAGTGAACCAGCAAAAGATATCAGTCTTTTTGTTTTTGTTTTTTTTTCAAAACAGAGAGTAATAACTTTAACACAAAAGTTACATTGTACAGATGCCTGCCCCCAGCAAACAGACACACACTTAGCTTTCAGGTAAAAATTATAAAGGGGGGCCGCTAAAATATCTAAACAGGTTAATGTTTTGTATGACTTACAAGGACAACGCGACTCGATTTATTGGGGATAGCACATACATCTTCACCATGTCAAGGCTGCAGTCTTCTTCTTGCACACACAAAAGAAAGCATCAAAACTCAAGCTTCTTGCACAACCCCTTGTCAATGTTTATGACTTTTCTTGCAGTCTTCCTGGGGGCGCCCGGACAGCTCTCAGCAACTCCGGTCAAAAGGGGTACAGATGTGGGTGTCGTCTCACCATCAGAATCACAAAATGGAATTGAGATCCCAGCAAGAATATCTTCCCTATGCCTTGAAATAATAAGCTTCAACAGCATTCTGTATAACGTTTCGAGCATATCTTCCTCAGACATGGTATGAACATCAATATCAAGATCCATAAACAAATCAAAACTGGAGATTTCTTTAAACTTTAGCGTACGGGCAACGCTGATTCGTGAATCAGCATCATTTTTTTTGCAAAGAGGAGCTAGAAGCAGGTGATCTGGCCCAGGAGCAAAAGGATCAAACACGTTGTCTCTGGGGGTGCGAGGACTCTGACTGTGTGGGGAAAGGTCGCCGTTCTCAGAGCCCAAGTTGAGAGCCCTTGGAATGCAAGAAGTTGAGGATTCAAAATCATCTGCATATTCCACAACTTTTTGCTTGGAATCAGGAGTTCCAGGGATTATGAGATCAGCAGGCTCTGTGGGCAAATTTAGACTTGTACGCTTACCCATGGTAAGATAACCATCAAGGTCTAAACTTTCAAGGGTAGAGCGTTGTGGCAGGTTCTGCCCCTCACTTGATGACAAACTGCAATCAACCTCAGCATCCATAGTAATAATTCTCAGGAAATAAATAACTGCATTAGTCAATTAAGGAAACCCTAAGAACTGATAGTTTTGCAGATATGGTAATTAAGTAAGTCTTCTATGGAGTCATGAAAAACTTTATTGAAATGGAAATTTTTGCTTTCAAAAGAGGAAAAAATATCCCTTTAAAAATTGATAACGTATGAGAATGCAACAACTAAGATGCCCCGAATAATCAGGCATTAGTCAGCACAAAAATGCTTCACTAAGAAATGAAGTATGATATATCCAGTTTCATTTCCCAAAACGGAAGAAACATACATAATTGCTACGTGTAACACACCAATATCTGCATAATACAAAAGATGTCATCTTTTAACACTTACCATTCTAAATCCCTATCTCATTCCCAGTATCCCACATTCTTTCTTTCTTCCTCAATCTTTGTTTTATGTTGAAAAATGGATTACAAGGCATTGAAGTTAAGAAGATGTCAATAGCATCCTTGAGGATGTAACAACTGTTTACCTACACATGAACCTAATCTTAAAGGGCCGTGTATTTGTAGTTGCAAAGTCTATTATATACTCCCTCCGTCTCAAAACAAGGTTCTTCATTTGGGTTGGCACAAAGTTTAAGGAAACTCAAATGGTGTAGTTGAAAGTGATGACGAGAAGCTACAGAGAGTTTTCCAAAATTGGAAAGAGGAGATTTTTTCGGAACGTCCCGAACAAAAATGAGGAGTCTTTTTTTTGGGACGAAGGGAGTATCATATATGTGCCTACCTACCTACACACACACACACAATAAAATGTGTTATATATACAATATATGTCGCACATAAATGATTAATAATTCACTATTTATTAACTCTATATGATGCAAACACATTATTTAACATTAAGTGTTCACTTTCGTGTTCCAGACATGTTAGGGAGATTTTTCCTTATAGCTATAAGATATTAAAAATGTATTTTCCATTAAATTTTGGTACTTTTTTTCATTTCTGCATGTGTAATATAGTACATATATTTTTGGTTTTGTATCATTAAAATTATGAAATATTTGAATTCATAGTATAATCTCGTATCTAAGCATCAGGTCCAAAAATATAAACCATACTCCCTCTGTTTTATAAAAGTTTTCCAATTTCTGTTTTCATCCATCCCAATATAACCTTCCCACGTTTTCTCTTTCATTTTAGGAAAACTATATGTGGCACAAAAGACTTCACTCTTATCTAAACCAATTCTAACTCCCTCACTTTTCTAATGTCTAACATATTTCTTTATGTATGTAAACTCAAAGTAAAAAATATTGTGACAGAGGGAGCAATTAATTACGTAAAAACATGTTTCCAAAATTCCATTAGATAATAGTTAATACATTTAAAATCAACAACATAAAAAAAATAATTACCACTTAAGTTCAAAACCATGTAAGGCCTAAAATATATTTTGCACATGCCTTTCTTAGCCATTTCTTTTTCAGGGAGGGTCCTAAAGGATGCAATTGAACAATTTGCTGATTGCAAAAGAGTACTCGCTAACTTAGAATCTCAAAATTTTGAAGATTAATTTTATAGATCATGGTCATCATGTTAAGGATTTACTGTACCGATACACAGTAACTACAGATGTTAAAATGTGTGGCAAATTTCTCCTAAACTATGTTATAAGCAATTTGCAATGCAGATTGATGAATCCTCCCGCTTGCAGTCTTATCTGGCTAGGTTGCTTATCTTTCATCAAAAATTGTTAGACGATCGTTCTTCAACACTGTTTGATCTGATCATCTGCTACAAGTCTATAATCTTGAAAGATTCAAATCAGCTTGGCACCCAAGAGAGAGCTAGATATAAATGGAATAGAGAGAGATCTGAAATGATAACGCTTTAACTATTTTCTCAACAGAGAAGAAATAACGGAAAGAAGAAGAAGGTGAGGGAATGGAAATGAGCTAGGGATTTGAAATGCTACGATTGAAAAAGAAGAAGTTGCCACAAACACACACTCTAATCTAACCCGGATTAACATCTTACAGCATAATTTTGAGTTACGATCCTTGAAAACGAGTAATTTTTTTAACATAAGTGCATTAATCAAAGAGTTTGAAACGTTTGTACTCAGTCAGATCGATTACTGGAACAGAAAACAGGACAAGAGAAATTAGAAAGGCAAAGCTGCTGAAGCGTTCTCCAAAGTTCTATCACTAAAATAGGTTTAAAAGCAGAAATAGATCTCATCCAGGTAGAAACAGAAGCAGGATAAAGTTTTAGCTGTTCACTTATACAGAGTGAGTCCGAGCTTCACTGAAGAACAAACAAAGGAAGAAAATTAAAGAAGCTACGAAGAAGAAAAGAGCGAACATACCTTCAGACGAGATTAACAGGAATCGGAAAATGCCGCGGACGAGAAGCTCGCTCCGATCGAACGGAGGCGGCGGCAGGCGGAGGAGGAGGGGAGGTGACCGGAGCTTGTCCTGGGAAGGGGAGATTGGAGGGGGAGGGAAAATGCGAGGGAGAGGGAATTCTTACCCGGCCCGGTTTCTACAATTTATACTCCGTGCCATTACTGCTTCCCTCTGGAAATGGAATTTACCCAATTGTCCCTAGAACCCCCCTCGAGTTTATCAGTACAGTGAAACCCATGTTGTTTCCCTTGAATGCTATCCACTCACTTTTAAATAGGAAAATGTGTAATTATGCCCTAAGCCAGTGAAAGCTTATCCACATACGTTACTTTTTGGGTGTTCGAGATTACGCACGGTACTTCAATTTTTTAAGTCAACCTCGGCACCATCAATTTTGTTTTTTATTATAAATTGTCCCCACTTCTAAAAATATTAAGTTGTAGGCATCCTATGCTAAGTATAAAGTCGAGCAAGTACTAGGTACATGTTTTACCTTTTGCAATCAGTCTATAGTTAACTAAATTTATTTTTTCTTGGTCACTGTTTGATAGTTTTAAAGAGACATCAAAGATAAGGCTCATCTCGTTTTTTGAAGTTATAGTTACTCAATGTAACTTCTAATAGGGTGACAACCTTACCCCACAATGGGATAATAATGTTGTTACTTTGTGCTCGCTATTTTACTAACGGAGACCCTACAAACAGGGCATTCAACCCAAGAAAGAGGACGTCAAAGACCAAGATCAGAGGGCCGCGAAGAAGTGATGAAGGGTCAAGAAAAAGGAAGGCCAATAAAATGCAGTAGGACAAGGTATGTAGAACACGTGAAGCTTGACCAGGTGTGTTCGTCTATAGAGAGGGGCTGAGTTGTGACGCTGGATAAGAATGATGAAGGTCGGATGTTCGTGAGCCAAAGACTTAGGCAAGTATAAGTTGTCTAATTCAGGTTGTGTGGGCCATTCGGTGTGTAGGTTGGTCCAATCTTTGTTGACATATTTATGTACATGGAACCTACGCGCCAAACGTCCTTTCTTAGAGGTCAAGTTACCTCTCGTGCATTTACAGGGAGGGAATCAATCACATTTGTATCCAAACTCATTTGAAAGATTCTCTCTCTCTCCCTCTATAGAATTTACTTCTCTCTCAAACCCCCAGGTTGTAATATCCTTCATTGATGCTCTCATTCAGATATTGAAAATCATCAATGAGCTCTCTTGCGCCATTAGCAAACTAAATAGGTAAAATAGTAATCCAAGCACTGAACACTGGAAGGCTATAGTCCTAGTGATGAGATACCTTCGGTATACTCGAGATTATAGCCTATATTATGGTAGGTATCCACCCATGCTGGAAGGGTACACTGATGCCAATTGGATTACGGATAATAAGGATTCAAAATACAGAAGCGGATTATCTTTATGTTAGCCGGTGCAGCTGTATCTTGGAAATCCTCAAAAAAAACCTTAATAGCGAGATCCACCATGCATGGAGTCTGAGTTTTTAGCACTAGATAAGTGCGCAGAACATGCCGAATGGCTTCAGAATTTTCTCGAGGATATTTCAAATTGGGAAAAATCGGTTCCTCATATTTGTGTTTTTTGTGATTGCCAATCGGAAATAGGACGAGCTCGGAGCAATATGTACAATGGTAAGTCAAGGCACATTCGTCGTAGAGACAAAACCATTAGGCAACTTCTCAATACGGGTATTATCTCAATTGACTATGTTAGGTCAAAGGATATTTTAGCAGATCCACTAACCAAAGAATTAACACATGAACAACATGAGAAGTTAGTAGTAGGAATGGATCTGAAAGCCATACCCTGTGCTGGGAACGTCTCATGAAGGAAAACCCAACCTGGGTGGTACCTAGGTTCAATGAGACAACCTACTTGTGGGACGAAGCATGGTCACTGTGGGGGCGAGCCGGATCACCGACTTAACACCCCTCTGTTCCTACCGAGATATAGTGACTCCTGAAAACGATGAGGTTAGCATGATGCTTTAATGATTCTTGAACTATGGACAATGGGTCCAAGTGGAGTAATTGAGATACTCCAAGAAAAATCACCTATATAAGAGTGAAGTGCGGTCGCTTAAATAGAAGGATTTCGGGCTGATCCCGTCTGGCACTCTCGCAGAACCAGATGCGTGTTCCACGACCATAATGGGCACACCCATGAGAATGGAATGATGGTTAGTTGAAACCTATGTATTGTATATCGTCGTTTACACAAACGGCAGTATAGTTCAAAGACATCAGGTTCTACTGAAGAACGAGTAAAGAAGATATACTTTACAAGGAATAGGTTCAAAGGCACAAAATCTACCTACTCTTGCATTTTTCCACCTTTAGAGTTATTTGCCAAGCACATGAGTTAATTTTCATTCATGTGGTGGATTATTAGAATTCTTAACGTGACAACTTTGGACGTAAATTCGATGGGGTCCATAAAATTATTTTTCCAAAATAATTACGGAAAAATATTATTCTAAGTGAGACAAGTATATATTTCGGTATATTGTGCGCCAAAATTGGTGCTCGGGTGAATGAGAAATTAATTCACAAAGTCATTCACTTGGAAGGGGAAAACCCACGTATCCCACATCGGATTTGAAACCCTTCAACTTCTTCCATTTATATGCTAGTCTTTAATAACATTGTAAAAGCAATTTATGGAGGGAGAACCAAGGGAGCCCTCGCGCACCACCGTCGCCGCCGTCCGTCCAGCTCGGCAAGACACGCACGCGCGCGCGAACCCGTGTTAACGTGTGAGTGCGCGCGATGCGTCGTGGCATGGCGAGGGCGTGGACCGAACCCTTATCATTTTATGAGACCGAATCGAACACCTGTTTGCTTCATTAATAACAAAGTGACGAAGTAATTAGCATGCATGCATTTACGAAGAGTCACTTAAATCCTCGTAATATCCGTCCCTCCAGCCCGTCCCACTTCTATATAAGGAGGCCTTATGCTGTAGAGATGAACACACTAGAATTTGAATATACTCCAACACTCTCTCGTTACGATCAATTTTTCCGGCAAATATTTCTTCGTCATTCTTGTTTGTCGGTGCACGGTTCTATTGCTCTAGACCTTGCAAGTAGCGGTTTTTTCCTGGGAAGAGATCGACCATGTTGTTGCCAGTGCGGGAGGCGGGTGCTACTACCTTAAGGAAAGCCCCAGCGACTCTGCTTTCCTTCCGTTCGTTTTTCCGATCACCGGCGACTTCTTGTATTTTTTATTTTTTTTTCTCGTTGTAAAATCCGAACGTGTTATAAGTTCGGATTATTATTATTTTTATTTCTCGCTGTATTAATATAACATGACATTTTTAATTTTGTAATGCTTGTAAAACAATTTGGGTGATTGTTGTGTAACCCTCACTCAGGGGCAAGACGTGATCTCAAACATAAATATTTTCCATGCACAACCTTGCTAGAGTCATACCAAGAGAATAACTGTGATTTTACGTGGGCAAGCAAGCATCTAAGTCTTGAAATCACTTCTGATGGAGAACTTGGTTTAGCAGGTTGGCATATATTCACGCACCACCAATGTGTGAAAAGACAAATGGGTTGTGGATGAGAGCCGCATGTTTGTGACAACTTCAATTATTCAACAAATTTGAAATTATTATCATAAACTTGTAATTCTTGAAATATTTATATGAAATTGCAAACATCACCTGAATCTTTGAAATCTGGCATACTAATCAAATGTTATGGGGGGTAAAACTATTGTAAAATTTTATTTCTTTAATAAATATTTCGTGACGACAAAAGCTTGATGGTGTGGTGACGGAGGAAGCATTTACAAAAAGAAAATTATTGAACTGGCCCAAGATTTATACACCAAAGACAAACGTCGACATAAGTGTCTATATTTGCCTTTTTGGTGTACAATTTAATGAGGTGCCCTTAACATTATTCTCCATTATAAAATCAACAAAGTATTAATTTCGAATAATTGCAACGGACGTTTAAATTGTGGGTGTTGTAAACTGAGTACTTTATTCATCATAGGTCGGGGTATTTATACAAACACGAGAGGTGGTAAAGTCTAGATAAACAAGAAAATAAATATTTTAAATACTATGAATAATATATCTGCCATATTTAACAGTGAGACTATACTCACACCTGAATGCCTTAATTTTTAGGAGTTGCAATAGTAGATTTTAAATTTGATATTATAATCATAAGTTAACCATATTTCTTAAGTACTGTTGATACAAAATAATAATAATAATAATAATAATAATAATAATAATAATAATAATAATAATAATAATAATAATAATAATAATAATAATAATAATGAAAAACAATACCCATTGCTCTCGCGAAATGTCCAAGACTAGATCTGGTAATGGGGTCAATTAGTTCAGTTCGGGTTCGAAACTTTTTTATTCAGGCCTCTTTCGGATATATGTTATAATTCGTTCGGGGTGGTTCGGGTCGGTTCAGTTCAGTTTCGGGTTTAATTTGATTTGATTTTTTCAGGTTTGGTTTTTATTCGAGTTTATTTTGGTTGGGATTTATATCGATTTGGGTTTATATCAGCTCAGGTTTATACCCGTTCGAGTTTTATCGGTTTGAATTTATACCAGTTTCAGATGAGATTCGTTAGTATTAGAGTTCTCAATTTAGCCTTGTGTGGAGCCTCTCCCTATGTGTATAGGGAGGTATATATACACGTGTTAACAATAATAAATTAGTATATTCGCCAATGTGTGTTACGATGTCACTATAAATGACATATATTCCATATAAAAATAGACAACCACCTTAGTTTAAGTAATAAAATACGGAATAAAAGATTTGTATATGAAACTAGTTGTACTTATAATTTAAATATGTTTTTCTAAAAAAGACATCAACCAATGAGATTTTTTATTTGACTGGATTTGATTTTAATTTGTTTTGAATTCGATCAATATTGGATCTAATCATTTTTTAGTCTAATCGGTTTAGGATCTAATGGATTTCAAGTCTAATAGGTTCCGGCTTTAATCGATTCGGGTGTAATCGAATTCGGGTTTAATCAGATTCGGATCTGAATACATTTGATTCGGTTTGGTTCGAATCATTTCAAGTACTTTGGTTTAATTTAATTTTTTATTTTTTGAATTATTTCAAGTTCGGTTTCGGATTATCCAGTTTGAGTTATCGAATTCGGGTCTGTTTTGCCAAATCTATCCAAGACTATATTTGGGTGTTCTATAGCAAAAGTAAGATCATTTCATATTGAGCGAGTACAGAATGAATAACCTAAGATGTTACCACCCACTTCAATTGAGAACAGTGTTTGTGCTTATCAATAACATTTTAGATAAATTTTCAATAACGAAACTCTACTCTGAAAATATTAAAACTAAGAGCTAATATTGAATTACATTCTCAAAATGATGAAGCAGATACCAAACAAAACCCACCTCATACCTGATACTCTCTCCTGTCTCAAACTAAGTTGTCTATTTAATATTCACAATGTCAAACTTCAATCACTTTCTTTATTTTATCACTCATTTGAAAAAAAATAATATAGTTATGTTACCTCTTGTTTCGTAAAGTTGTTTTATGTAATTTTTTAATATGTAAATTTTACAGAATATTTTAATGTCGCTCTTAATTCGCATATAGATTATGTTGAAAAGAACTTCAACCAAACATTGTAAACCAAAACAAATGTTGAAAAGAACTACTCGCACGGAGGGAGTAGTAATTTTAATTCATTCTAATTGTCCACTTCCTTTTCTTGCTTACCAAGCAACCTTTGCTCCATAGCTTTTTCACTTTACATCAAGGAAAAGATCCTTGTCCATCTGCTCCCCTTTTGGCTATGAGCGAAATTTATGTAGTGCAGAAAAAAATAACATAAATCACACAGTTCTTTTTTAAAAGGTAAATTGAAAGCCAATAGACACTTTCCTTGCTAAACTGTGTTTCATGCAAGCCAATATATTACACATATAAAGAACATACATTATCCATAAAAGAATCACATCATCCATATTAAACTCCACTACTTTGTAACAAATGTTAAGTTTTTCGTTTAGTTCATCAATTATTTTAATTTACCATTAGTTTTATTTATGTCATTTCTGTAGTTTGTTTAGAAATAAATAAAAGTGGTAACAAAAAGGAAATGTTGGTACGTTTTTTGTCAAGATCGGTTGATGAAGAAAAGCACCTGTCAAAAAAAGAGATGTAGCCCAGAATGTTTACTTGCAGGCTGATAGAATTTAGGATGGAGTATGGACAACTGGATTGGGTAATAAAACACTTGGGTTGAACCACATTAAAAGATTGAATCCAATCGATAATTCAACTCAAGAGCTTATATACCGATCAATTTCCTCACACTTTTCCGATGTGGGATGCTCTTTAACACTCCCTCTCAAGTGGACAACCGGGCCATTTTGAATCTAACTGGTTGACCACTTGCAAATGAACTCCCATTCCCTTAATTTTTTTTTGAGCGCCAACACCTAAATAACCACGAGCCGCTGGGTATGGACTTCCAGACGAGCAATCGTGTTAAACGGGTCACAGGCCGTTGGGTACATACTCCATACAGACAACTGGGCTAAAGACAAACGGGCCGCTAGAAATGAACGTCTAGACGAACACCTTGACAAATGAGGTGGACTAAAACTGGCTCCGATACCATGATAAAATTTAGGATGGGGTATGGACAACTGGATTGGGTAATAAGACACTTGGGTTGAACCACATTAAAAGATTGAATCCAATCGATTAGTTAGTTCAACTCAAGAGCTTATATACCGATCAATTTCCTCACACTATTCCGATGTGGGATGCTCTTTAACACAGACAAATTGGTTCAATCTGCATATATACTCTGAATGCCTTTCCACAATGAGGTTGATCAGAGGGTTTTCTACATCAGCCCCAACTTGGGATTCGTCCCTCTTAACAATAATCTTCTCATTTGGTGCCACAACCGTGACTTCTTCTTTTCGGGTTAAGAGCTCATTAGCTACAACCATATGCATTCCATACTTCCTAAGAGCCATATCAGCCTTCTCCAAGAGGATATCTTTATCAGTTTCTAGCTGTCAATAAAGCAAAGACAGAACGTCAAAAGAAATGAAAAGGCGGGTCACTGGGGCTTTTTTTTTCAGTTTATGTTACATAACACACTCCCTTTACTAATCCCCCAGTTTGACCAAAATCACACAGTTTTGAAAACAATGCATTGGGGTCATAGATTAACCAAGACTTTTAATTATTTGTCTAAAATGCCTTAGTTAAAAAGGCATTAGAAAGCAACTTTGAGATCAAAGAAGTATAATTCTCATGTACCCTAAAATTTTCTAGAAAGGGATTTTCTAATATTACAGTTTCCCATTTCAGTTAAATTTCAGGAATCTTTGATCAACTTACAGTACACACAAACTATACAAAAGTATTTATCCAAAAAGACAGGACAATAGGTTGTACTGACTACTGAGGATAGGTCAACTCTACTTATGATATGCAGTGCAAAGGACTCAACTGTGGAATATTCTTTCCCCAAACAAAATGATACGAGTATTTAATTGTGGAAGGCAATCTAGTTAAGAACAAACTTTAAATGGTTGGACATACATTTGATATTCCCCCAGTTGTCCATGAGCTGAGGCAGTTGGCATTAACTGGTCTTGATTGATGTAATTCCTACTGTTAGTTTAGTGTTCTAAACATCTAAATATGAAGTTAAATAAGAGTACTAATATTGAATATTTCAATCCAAAATATGAAAGTTCATCAGATTAGTTTTTTTTTTCTTTTCATAAATCCAAATTATGCATTTTTTAGGTAAATTTAAACTACTACGGTAATTTTTATCTTTCATGCATCCAAGTAGTTTTTTTAACAAGTACCATTTCAAAAGTTCATCTTATTGAAAAAATCAAAACTCAAAAAATTTAATGAGAGTTAACAGAATGGAATTCATTTAAAAACTTGCCTTAAATGAAATGCAGAAAGCCATAGGTGCCCACTCACTTCTGAGCACAGAAAGCATCTTCGGCACTTGAGCAAGCTGCATGTCCAATGGACCTGCTCCAGACTGGATCTTGTGAACAGTCTGTAAGATAGAAACAAAAGAAAAAAAGGAATGACCTTAATGTGTAAGAGTCATTTTCTATAATGTTTTATCCTTTGGGCAGACGATGTCAAAATAATAAAAAAAAAGCACATTAAGGTTCTCTAGCTTCTCACTTTCTATGAAGTTTTGGATGTTAAATGCATCAAGGGCCTAATGGAATTAGCGTCTTTGTTTATTTGCAGGGATAATGTTGCGTGCATTTGACCCCACACACCAACAAAGTTGGGCTTATACTGGGTTTGTTTGTTGTATTAGTTTTTGAATGCAACTAAGGTTTTATGCATTATCTATGAATTAGTAATTTAAACTAAGGTGGAAAGCAACACAAAACACAATGCAAATCCATCTAGCCCCACAGATACTACAAAACTATTGCACTTAAGAACATAGTTGCTTTAATAGGAAAACATAGTTGATTTTGAGCTGGTGTTTAACGGCAGTAGAGTAAAGGACATATGTCATCTTTACCAAACAAAAAAAAAGGAAAGCCCTCCCATTATTGGAATTCAGTCAAATGACTTTCAAAGGGAATACATGTAGACATAGTTGTCATGGCGCATGGCGACTTTCATGGCGATGGGCCAATATCACATGGCGATGGAGATGGCGATGGCGCAAATATGGCGTCGCCACAGGACACTAGTCACACAACATAATAAACTAAGATTTACATAGGTATAAGACATGAATTCAATAAAAAACAGTAGAGTACTTGATCTAAATAGTCATGTTGGAAATAAAAACACAAATAAGAAGTTATTCCAAATCCAAAACGATCCAAGGTGCTAATAGTAAAATAACTTAAGCAAAACTCAGAAGTAATTCAAACTTAAAATTTAGTCTCAAAATTTAAGATATGAATATATAATGGTAATATCTCATCTTCGTCAACTTCTTGAACCATTCGATTACTAGTTGATGCTCGATCCTGCCTCTTTCAAAACCAAGTCTCGGAGACTTGTCTTCAACCCTTCCGGAACAGTAGGACATTCTGCTGTGTTACGATGCCCTCCGATCAGATGTTGTTTGAATCTACTAATCCCACCATTGCTTATACGACCACAAAAATTGCATACCAAATCATTACTCGAGTTTGGATTGAGCATCGTGCAGTGTTCCCAAGCCATAGAGACAGACATTCTTCAAGAAGTACTATGCTAGAAAAAAAAATTAAGGCAAAAAAAAAATTATGGCAGAAAAAAATTGTCAGGAAAAAATTTATGATAGAAAAAAAAAAGTTATGGCAAAAAAATTATACCAAAATAAAACTTATGGCAGAAAAATCAAGCAAAAATATATTAAAGTGAATCACCATTGAAAACATTGGCAGTATAACCAACCAAGTATAATAAGCAATACTTCGTATGAGTTAAAAAAGAAAAAGGAAGTATACAAATGTGTTAAAAAAAAAAGGAAGTACTCTGTAAAAGTGAATTACCGATGTCGCACTCCCCTCTTTCCTTAATCGCAGATTCGCAGTCCCCTCTTTCTTGAATCGGCTATGGCGAGTCGCGGTTGTGACCAGATCCGATGAAGAAGAAGACGATTTAGGCATGTGGCGGTTCACTTTGCGTGTCGATTGGGAAGATTGAGCGATTGGGGACTACTAATTAAAGGATTAATTTCTTTATAGGGCCTAATTTATTGGATTTGGGTCGGGTAAACAATGGCGATGGCGCAACAATGGCGATGGCGCACATTTGGCGTTGCCACAAGTCAGTCGACCGCCACAGGCCACTTTGTGGCGTTTCCGATCCAAATCGCCAAAGGCGCATCTATGGCGCGCGCCATTTGCGCTATTGATAACACTGCATGTAGATTTTTCCAAACGTGTATAATGCGACCAGATGGGTGTAAACTGTAAGCTAAAGAGACATTTGCCCTGTCTTCAATTCTGAAAAGTTGAATCTGCACATTCTCATACCAAAATTAGTCGATTGTTGCATGTGTTTGACACTGTAAAGAATCAGTAGCTGATTCTGATTTCTGATATTAAGAATTAAACTACATACTTCTCCAGAATGAACAGCCTGAGAACAGAATCAGCCAAAACAAGAAATGAAGCCAAAATGATTCCTCAACAGTCATTTTAAAAGAATATGGAGTAACAAGTACCATGCTTTCCCAAGGAACATAAAAGTCAGAAACGGCAGCAGCAAGATAAAACATAGCACTTGGACCAATGCTTCTGAGCAACTCAGCAATCAGCTTCAACATCTGCTCTTAACACAAATAGTATTGTATAAATTTCAGATACTGAATATGCAATGACTAAAGTTAGCTTTCTTATATTATTACAAAGAGTTCTTGAAAGTCATCTATTAACACAGATTTAATCTCTATAATTCTAATTCCTACCTGCAGATATTCAAAGATTGTTGTGAACGGGAGTTTGATCAGAGAGCCCCCAGCCACAGCCTGCAACAATGAATTTGTCTGCATTGAAACAAGATAATCCCGAGTTTAAAGCAGAAGGAGCTACAGCTACCACATGTTTCCTTACCGCCTGATGTTCAGTAATTGCTCTTCTCACCACCTCAGCACATTTATGATCCACTGGAAAACAGAACAAGAGCTGATATTATTTATTTTGAAATATACAGTCAATATTGTTTCTCGCAAAGGGTAATTTTGACTTTTGAGAATTTTGAATAATTTGTTTACTAAATACGGAAAGTAGAGAGCCAAATCTCGATGCTCCAAAGAGGATAAGTGGACAACTAAATCATGATGGAGGAAGTAAATAAAGATCAAACTATCAAAATCCTTGAAATTGTGAAAAACCTGAGTCTGTTAGTGCTATATGCCTATATCTACTGATGTAGATTAGTTATGGGAAAAAATTTTCTAGACTTTGCAAACCTTGAAGGCTAGATGCATCATTATATTGTAAGCACTCAATCAATGCATTATCTGGAAGATCTCTACAGAATGGCTGGCAGGTTCCCCTGCATAGTGACGAGTGTCCAGTATTTAGTGAGCAAATACTAATGAAGTTGGTAGGTTATGGACAAAATCATAATAGGGTGGATAAATAATGATTTGTAGCAGTAACACACACACCTTCGGTAGAGAAATATGACAGAATAACCAGACTTCAAAAAGTATCTGCAGCCTCATTTTATGTGTAAAAAATACGGAGTATTAGTAACTTTATCAAGAGTTTCTAGTGAAGTGAAATGAAATGAATATGGGAGATGCAATATACTCAGTGGAAGCAGCTCCTCTGTGGCCTGAGCTGAAATTATCAATATATCGAACACACCTCCTCTCTAATGGTACACTAGTACCACCAGAAGTAACACACACTATCCTGTTTGCTTTGTCATCATTTCCTAAACACAAAGATCAGAACCCTAGTGATAATGGCTTCCAATTAAATCCCAAAATTTCTAGAAGTAAGCTCACCTGAAGCTAAACAATTCCTGTGAATAAATTCATTCAACTTTGCCTTGATATCGGCAGCATCATGAATTGGAGGAGCTGAGTCAAAGAATGCCCTGATTTGGAAATTTGGTGCTACACGATATTCTTCAGGATGGTTTACCTCAGCCATTTGAATTTTAATAGCAAAATTTCTTGTAAAAATTAGCGAAGCCTTAGTTAAATAGAATACATAGACAAGAGTCTTTCAGATATGTAAACTTGAAAGCAAAATGAATGCAATAAGATCATAAGGAGTTATTTGTTATCAGTAGAAGAACAATTGCTCCATCGACTTCATCTGTGCCAACACCACGGGTGATTCAAGGCTCTTTAGCTGTAGCAGCTACGACTGGATTCTGAGCTTTTTTAGCTTATTTGGATACTGTTTAATATGGCATTCATACATTTGCAAATAATATGGATCATATTTTTAGAATTACTGCGACTTATATGTTATAAACATACTGAAAACAGATATGTTTGTGATTTACATGTTTATTTTTTCAAAAATACAGCTAAGCGTATGGGCATAATGCCATAATGGCATATATATTCTCAGAGAAAATGCCAGTTTGAAGCTCCCCCAACAGTAAAAACTATAAGTCCAATAGCCATCATATACCAATATGAGTTGCCAAATGTATCTCTTGTCAAATTAATCGTAGTAAAATATAACTAAATCTTTGAACATTGACCATTGAAGATCATCATTCATCAATTCAGAAATTTCAGCCCAATACAACATTGAACAAAGCCTGAGAGTCTGGTGAATAAGCGTACAAGACATCTATCCTATGCAGGTAGATGTAAACTTATGAACTCTGTTCTGTTTGGTGTTATTTCCTTTGGGTGCAGGCTTTTCATCATCCCTAATAAAGTGATGAAGAAAATTTAGAGTATATGTAGGGATTTGTTGTGGGCTATTCCCCTGAGTATACAAAACATCCCGTTGTAAACTGCAAGTAGGTTCATAAACCAAAGAAAAAATGAGGGCTTGGCCTGGAGAACTTAATCTGCAACAAGAAGGATATTAAAAATTCTGTAAATTCTAAACTTAAACGAATGATGCATTTGGTTCGAGATAGGTTGAGTTGTAGGCAGGTTTCTGGTATATAAAACAGTGTTTTTTGGTTCTTTTGAGTATAAAAAAAAAACTAATCAAACATTCAAAATCCCACATCATATCAACAATTAAACACTGAAATATAAATATGAAGAGAATAAATGTGAAACCTGAATCCCGAACTTACCGATCGACTGGTTTGGAGACAGCGGAAGCGACAGGAGGGTGGGCTGCGGGTGTCGGCGGTGTCACTGCGGCGGGGCAGAGCGCGGTGGGTTTCTCGTTGGTTAATCTCTATCTCCCCACTACGGTTTTGCTTAATTTTCTGTTGGACCATGCTACATTTACCAGAAAATTACTATTAGGTACCTTAGGTTTAGGTTTTGTGGTAAAGACCGTGAGGTCCCAAATTATCAAAAATTACTTGAGGGTCCTCTAAAATTTAATGTTTAAGGGCATCCACAGTGGTAGCATCTCTTATTAGGGCATCCACAATGGTAGCATCCCTCACTAGATATTGAAGTGTGGAGTCTACTTTTAAAATGCCAATTGAGCACCCTTCTCAACATCTAAACCTTTCAATAGTGGCATCTCATATGGATGCCTCATTTTATTCAATGAATGCAGTGGGTCCATATAAATATAATTATATTTTATTTTCTTAATTATAAGTATTTATTATATGATAATTTTTAATTAAGATTAATTATTTACTCGTTATTATTAATATTACCTTCTTCCTAGAATATATATCTAATTTTGACTTTTTACATTTAAATTAATAAATTTGGTCTTTAAGTAAATAAAACTTATATTAGATATTGATATAAAATTAAATTTCTTAGATTTATGTTGTAAAATATTTTAAAATGTTTTTTATGTAATTAATATATGATGTACTCCGGAGTAGTTAATATTGTTTCAAAACAAACAGAAAAACAAATACCTAAGAAAATTTTCGAAATAAATAAAAAATAGTCATTCCATTAAAAAAGAGTTTGAATTCTAGAACATTGCAATATCTAATTTTTTGAAGTTGCCAAATCTAATTTAATAAAAAAAACTTTTGAGCCTTCATAAAAACTACAAATGCAAACTTTTAAATTGAAAAAATAATAAATTGACACATGGCACATATATATTGGACCACAGTACTTAAAAAACAAATGCCTCAATTCTTCCATCCTCAAGCATCGGGTGCTAGGCCAAGCATCTTCTTTTCATTTTTCTCTTTGAGCATCTTTATTGGGCATCCATCTACAATAGTAGCATCCATCAACATCTCACTCTCTCTCCTCCTAGCATCTCTTTTGGACATCCCATTGGAGATGACCTTAGATGTCCAAATGCGGGCTCCACTTCAAAGATGTTATGCTAACATCTCTCTTAACATCCAACTCGTCCAATGGTGGCATCTCATTTAGATGTCTAAACATTTGTTCTACTCCCTTTATCCCCAATTTGATTACAAATTGCGGGTTACGGAGTAAAATTTCCTACTTTTTGAAATCATTTTATTTATAAATTGGTATATGAATAAGTTATAAAAATTGCATATTAAAAAACTACGTCAAAAGTTCTACAAAATAAGAGGTGACAAGAATATTTTATTTTATCAAATATTTGATGAAATCGCGTAAACAAACAAAATTTATCGAGAGGAGAGAAAAAAAATTGTAATCAAACTAGGGACGGAGGGAGTATTACATATTTTAGTGGGTCCTACTTCCAAATAAATAAAATAATCTTTAATTTTTTATTTAAAAATTGGTATATAAATAAAAAATAAAATTTATATATTTAAAAAGTACATTAAAAGTTCTATAAAACAAGATGTGAAAAGAATATTTTATTTAATCAAATAAAATCTAGAAAAACACACAAATAAATAAAAGTTCTTGTTTAATTTGTCTTAGTGTGTTATGCCTAAATATATTCATGTGTGATCTTGTTTAATTTGTCTTAACATATAGATTATTAATATATAATTTCTATAATTTTTTAATATACAAATAACAAGATAAAATGGATTAAAGAAGTGTATTGAAAGAAATAAATAAATAATAAAAATGACACATGGCACATAAACTATTGGAGCACTATATTAAAGTAATTAAAGGAAGTAGTAATTTCAAGTTGGAACATCGGTGCTCAACCTAGCATCTTTCCTTCTCTTTCTTCATTGGGCATCTTTATTGAGCATCTACCTACAATGGCAGCATCTCTTAACATTTCATTCTCTCTCATCTAGGCATCTCACTTGAACATCCCATTGGAGATGACCTAAGACTGGGGGGTGTTTCCGTCTAACCCATCTTAAAATGATTTAAGACTGGGGAGTGTTTCCTAAATAAATGGTGGCCTCAAACCTTCTTACCATATCCACCTTATCCAGTTGCCTTCCCCCCTGCTCTCTGTTTAGCATGTCCAACAACCTTCTTCCCCATCAAAGTTATTGACCCTCTTCTCTATGGTATGGAATGCTCAAACTCATCATTATTATTGTAGATGTTTTTTTACGCTGAGACCAAGAATTTTTTTTATGTTGCGAATAAACAAATGGTTGAACCAAGCTGAGATGAGGTTTTTCTCAAATCTCATTTTCATCTTTACACAGGTTTTAAATTTCAACCCATGTCTGGCTTTTAATGGTGTGGTTAATTCACTCCATATTTGCCAATTTTTTCAGTGGAATAATCTTCAGAAAAGTATGCCTCCAGTTCATGCTGAGAAAAAAAATTCCTGAAAATTATATAATTTTCTCTATGAATCTCTTTCTATCTCTACCTTAAATTACAATTTTAAAAATGTGTATTTTTTTAATTTTTATCCTCAAGTGTCAAAATTACTTTTAGGAACAAATATCTTAATTTGCAAACCGAAACTTTAAGTTAAAATTGATTGGAAAAGAAAAACTATAATAATAATAATAAATAATTAAGATATGTAGAAAATAAAAGTTTGAGAATAAAAGATTATAAGATTTAAGAGAAACACCTCCAAGATTTAGGAGAAAAAATTTGAAATTTTATAGCAGTAGCTAAGCTCTTGATGTTGGTTATTTGTAGTGGCAGCTAAATGTTGTATGATACAACATCTTGTATGTTCCGACCTAAGGTCTTTGTTATTCATAGTATTTGTACATCCTATATTATGAAGTTGGTGATGCTTAACTTGGGTGTTTTATATGTTTAGGCACCTACAGGATTTAAAGTATATGTGAGGGACAAATGCATTGCAATAGAAGATGTGGATTTGGATATGTATTACACTAAAGATTTGTATGCTGATGTTATTAAGCTGGCCCAAAAACAGAATATTTGCCTCCCTAAGTATATTGGCTTCAGATATCACCCTCCATTCAAAGAGCTTGCACGTGAGAGTCTTGCAACTGATTTAGATTGGAATAAGATGGTTGGGTATTGGGGGGAGGAGGCTTTATCCACATCTTACATACCGTTGTTTGTTATTGAGTTGCAAGAGGCAAGTCCAGTACAACTTATGGCTGAGAGGGTTGAGCCTAGTTCCCAAACCTTAATAGACTTGAATATAAGGGATCTTGAGCAATGGGTTGATGATTTGGTAATAACCCCTATTGATTTAAGTCAGATTCCAAACTGTGACCCAAAGAGCACTAATTTAACAAAGGTACCTGTGAAGAGGGCGCATGAAGTATTACTCCTACATCAATCCAGCCCTAGTCAATCACTTTTAAATGCTTCCTCCACACCCACTGCTGCTATATCTCAAGCACCTACGTATACACACACCTGCTGATTTAGACTCCAACACATATGATGATGTTGAAAGTGCCTGTAGGGTGGTGAAACAGAGAAGGAAGGCAAGGCAGAGGGAAAAGGAACACATCAATTTCTTACAAGTGAATCCATAGTCAAGTTCTGCAATAAAGAGTTGAAAGGCTTAGAGGCGTATGACATCCCAACACTCACTAAACCACATATACCTCTCAGTTCTAACGGAGGGTTAGATGGTTAGATGGGAACGACCCTCTCAGTTCTAACGGCATCTTGGTTTCTAACGGAGGGTTAGATGGGAACGACCCTCTCAGTTCTAAACATCTAATTTTAATGGACCCCTGAGTAATTTTTGATAATTTGGGACCTCACAGTCTTTACCACAAAACCTAGGGTACCTAATAGTAATTTTCTGCTACATTTACACCAAAAATTGTACCCCACTTGTACACCGCAGTTATACACAAATATTTTGATGATTTACACAGACACAAATGTTGGTGCGTTAACAAAAATTTACACGGACTCAAAGTGTTGGTGCGTTAACAAAAATTAGTTTTACACCAACACAAAATGTTGGTGCAAACCTGCGGGGTACAAAGTGGGGTACAAAATGTTGGGGTACAAGTAGCTTTATCCTTTTCTGTTAGACTCTGATCTTGCTTCGGGTCCCCTGTTTTATTTTTGGTTGGAAATGGCCAATTGCAGACGATGTTTTTTTAGTATAGAATAGGTTTTGGTGATGAGGTCATTGAGGTGTAGTTTTGGATATGTTTCTACTTTATGTTTAGAGCTTTTAAATGAAATTTGTACGGAAAACTACTTTGTTGGAAATGGCTAATTACTTTGTAAAATGACAAATCTTACATTGATTTGAAATACGTTTTAAGGTTGCACTCTTTTCATGAAGTACATATTGTTAATTAAAAATGTGTTGAAACACGGGCATGTCACGTTTTCGTACTAAAGCCGTGTTTGTTTTTATGACAGGTTTTGATAATGCCAAACCGCCGTGATCAAGTCAAACTTTGAATATACAAGGCGAAGAAGGAAGACAAGAACAAGAGCTAAAAGAAGACCAAGAACGAAGACCTTAGTCTTAGTGTCGTGAGTCGGTCTTCATTGTGATCAAGACCGACCCAATCTTTACACCTTGGCTCTTTAGGCTAAAAACCTTCATTGCACTTCTTAAATCATAAAAATGTTTTTCAAACATGTTTAAGTCATTAAAAACACTTGGTGTTCGCCCAAACCAAAAACCAAGCCATCCGGCGTTCGGGTTTCAGAAACCGGCGTTCGGCTCTCGGTTATCGGCTATGGTTTTTGGCGTCCGAACCAACCAAGTGGTTTTCAACTTTTTATGATTGGTTTTNAATACATCAAATAAGTGTTTTAAACATTTGGTTTTTTATTTTGGAGAACTTTGAATTTTTCGGTCGGGTTTCGCATCGGTTGGCTAGGCCGTGGTTAAGGCAAAAACCATGGGTTCTTGACTAACCACCCACCCAGCGATGGGAAGATCTTCCCATCGATGGGTAAGCGGCCCCTCAGCCAAACCAGTTTCCAGAACCATGCCAAACAGCGATGGGGAGTTCTACCCATCGCTGTTAAAGCCTTGGTGCAATATTAACACAAGGCAGAACGACCTTGCCCAGCGATGGGAAACCTATCCCATCGATGGGAACCCAGCGATGGTAAGGGTATACCATCGATGGGAAGGCATGACCGTTGGTGGTCATTAAAGGTTGATCCTTTCCTTGTTTGGAAGTCAACCTCCCACCCAGCGATGGGAAGCTTGTACCCATCGATGGGTAGATGACCGTTGACTTCAAAACTGAAGGAAAATTGGCTTACCAGCGATGGTTGAGTCTAAACATCGATGGGAAGCCAATATCCTGCAGATCCCAAATTTATTCAATCCCATAAATCAAGCCAATCACCCCTTTAATGTATTGGTCCGTTGGAGCCTATTTTGGCACTATAAAAAGGGGTGTTTGGGTCTGTTTTTCTCATCAATTCACTTCACAATACTCATACTTTCATTGCATTCAAATAACATCATTTTCCATAGCTTTCTAGAGCCAAATTGTGTGAAGTTTGAGTTGTTCTTGAGCGTACTTAGTTTACTCATCATCTACTCTTAAAGGGAGTCTTGTTCTTGAGTGTTTAGTGTTGTATACACGTTAAGGGAAGCTTGTTTCCCTTGGTTGTACGAAGGAAGGGCATATTCCTTCGGGTTGAAGTCTTGGAGTGCGGTATCTCCGAGCAAGTGTTGTTGAGGCTCGTGGGACTCGAGTTCTCAGGTTGTAACGGTTTGTTAAGCACCCGTAAGCTTAACGGAAGTAGTGTAGCTCGAGAGAGTCTCTCGGGAGACTGGATTAGCCACACGTTGTGGTGAACCAGTATAAATCTTGGTGTGCTCCCTTTACGCTTTCAACGCTCTTTGTTTTTCACGTTCTTAATTTTTTATTCCTGCGATTTCTACGATCAAACGCTATTCACCCCCCCTCTAGCGTTGGTCATTTATTCTAACAAAATGAGCATTCAACGAAATCATATAAAATAAGTAAATTGTTCATGTTTTTAATTACGGAGGGTTCCCGTTGACATCGGCTGCGATTGACACTACGATGCCACTAGAGTTTTGGGGCATTTATCATGCTCCGGTTGTAAAATTGATAATTTCTATTTTAACCAGTAAATCCCGAAACCAAGTTAACTCAACATATCCCTTCAACCTCTTTAATTTCATCCCTTAATTTGACCTCAAAGTCAACAAAAAAATTATATGATGAAATTAAAAAGGTAGGGGGAGAAGGGGGGGGGGGGGATGTTGGGTTTAAGTCGAGATTAGGGATTTACAGGGGGAGGAGAGATATGTAAACTTATATAGTGTTCTGGTTTGAGACTTTCTCATTTCTTCACATCGTATTCTCTTTTTTCACCTTTAGATGTTTAGGACAAATAGCTACTAAATTAGTTTTGAAATCAAATCCGATTCTACGAATTTTAATAATTAGTAAAATCAATACAAATTTTAAATTAGAACAAAATTTGCAGTAGTATAACATCAATTATAAAATAATTATTATTCTTGCATATCGAATGAAGAACACATTAAATTAAAAATTCATTCATAACAAAGATTATTAATTAAAAAAATAAAAATAACAATTAACCCTAGAGTTAATATATATATATATATATATTAAAACCTCACTCTTATAATCTAAAACTTGAAAATATAGTGTGTTAGATTTTCTCAATTCAATTAATAGAAGATACTAAGTGCATCAAATTAGGAAAAAAGAAAGAATGTACTCCAAGAATAAAGAATAAAGACCTTACTAGTTTACTATAACAACAACAACAATAATAATAATAATCATAATCATAACAATAATAATAACAAGAATAATAATAATAATAATAATAATAAGACTAAAAAGTAAAGAATATAAAAAATTACCGCGCCCATTGGAGTCTTTCCTCCTTGGAAGACTGGAAAATGAACTTTGAAGAGAAGTCAACGCTCGACTGTCGGTAATTTCACTGTATGATATGTAAAGATTAATCACTAATCATTAACTACATTTAATATATTACCTTACTTATTGTGATTTATTCTAAAGGAGTAAATGGCGTGTAACTCCCCTAGGACTTAGGCTATTATTGTGGAGCCATTAACACTCTCTTGATTGTAGTTGACTATAAATATAACATCTGTAAATCATGTTTAGCAATGAAATAAGCCTTCTCTATATGGTATCGGAGCTGTAAAAGGTTTCTGTCTTCCTTTTTTTTTCCGATCCTTTTTCCGCTGCCCTGCTCTCCTCATGGCGTCAAATATCCCTTCCTCCTCTGCGATCACCAAAGACACTACGGTGATTCAACTTCATTCCAAAACCCATTTTCCAATCAAGTTGGTGTCCACCAATTTCGTAATCTGGCAACGCCAGGTTCGCTCGACTCTTATCGGCTTGGACCTACTTGGCTACATAGATGGTACCATGGTTGCTCCGCCCATGGCTATTTCCGGTTCCCCCAACCCGTGCTACTCTATCTGGTTCCGCCAGGATCAATCCATCGTTGGCGCGCTCCTCGGCAGTTGTGCTGATGTTGTTCAACCTCTCATATCTACTGCAGACACCGCACACGCTGCATGGATGAGCCTTCACACTGCGTTCGCCAGTGCGAGCCGCGGCCGGGTTGTCTCTCTCAAATCCAAACTGGGCAAAAACCCCCGTGGTGATCGTCCAATGGCTGATTATTTGTTTGACATGCGCTCCATAGCGAATGAACTTGCTCTCATTCAAAACCCTATCTCTGAGGAAGATCTTGTAGTCCATGTTTTAAATCAGGTTGGTGATGACTACGATTCCATATCCTCCGCTGCGTTACTTCGCCCCACGGCCATCTCCTTCACGGAGCTTGGAGATATTTTAACAGATCATGAGCGAAAGCTTAAATCATCTGACGAGGCGAAATCTACCATTGTTGCAACAGCCAATTATACACAGAATCTTCGTGCTAGTCGCTCTCCTGCCCCTGTACCACATCGTGATGGTGGCAGCACTGTTTTCAATGGTCGGCGTGGGCGTAGCACAGGAGGTGGTGGCTCACGGCCTGCTCGACAACAATCTGGGTGTCACTTTTGTGATATTCTGGGTCATGATGTGAAGGACTGTCGCAAACTTGGCAGGTTTCTGCGTACGCATGGCATCTCGCCATCACCTGCAGCGCACAACACAATGGTGGCTGCACCTCCTGGTCCTCAATGGTTGTTTGACAGTGGTGCTAGTCATCATACTACACCTACTACTCAGTCCCTTCAGTCCTTCTCTGATTACGGAGGTCCTGATGAGATCCGCTTGGGTAATGGTAATGGTCTTAAAATCACTCACACTGGTCATACCTCTATCTCAACCCCATCTCGTCCTCTTTCTTTATCTAATGTCTTATGTGTTCCTAATCTCAATCGTAATCTTGTTTCTGTTTCTCAACTCTGTCAGTCTAATCAAGTTTCTGTTGAATTTTTGCCTTTCTCTTTTCATGTAAAGGATCTGAAAACGGGGGCCAAACTTCTCACCGGGGATAATATTCATGGCGTGTACTATGCTCGTCCGCCTAGGTTGCCACCACAAGTGTCTTTCCATGATCGAGGCTCTGTTTCAGACTTTCACCACAGCCTTGGTCACCCATCAAATAAAATTCTCCTTTCCATGTTACGCAATTGTAATAAATCTTTTTCTCCAAAAGATATCCAAAAATTTCATTGTCTTTCTTGTTCCATCACTAAGAGTCATAAGCTTCCATTTTATGTGAATTCTTTTGTTAGTACTATGCCTCTTGAATTACTATATTCAGATGTTTGGTCGTGCAAAGAAACCTCTGTTGATGGCTCTCTCTATTATGTTATTTTTGTGGATCACTTCACCAAATATGTCTGGATATATCCCTTAGCTCGTAAATCTGATGTTTTTAAAATTTTTCCTCATTTTAAAAATCTTATGGAAATTTTTTTTAAACGGAAGATTATTTCAATTTTCTCTGACAATGGGGGTGAATTCATTAAACTACGTCCCTTGCTAAGTTCGTTTGGCATATCCCATTACACCACTCCCCCCACACCCCTGAACATAATGGTACTTCGGAGAGACGTCATCGTCACATTGTTGAAACGGGTCTCTCTCTGCTTCATCATGCTCATATGCCTATCACTTATTGGTCATATGCCTTCCAAACAGCGGCCTATCTCATTAACCGTATGCCCACCTCACTTCTCCAAAACTATAGTCCTTATGAAGCCCTTTTTGGAGCTCCTCCTAATTACCTCAAACTTCAACCGTTTGGTTGTCTATGCTATCCTTGGCTCCGTCCCTATACTCACAGCAAGCTTGAACCCCGCTCTACCCCGTGTCTTTTTGTAGGCTATTCCACCACTCAGTCAGCCTACAAATGTCTTGACCTCTCCACTCACCGTGTGTATCTTTCTCGACATGTCCAATTCATCCCACATATATACCCGTTTCCCACCAAAAGTTCTTTAAATACCCCATCTCCATATGTCTCTCCTTTTCCTCACTATCCTCCTTCGTTTTCCAAACCAGTTTCCGAAGCACTCTCTCAGCCTAACCCTTCGTCGGCGTCTGCCACTAATAACCTGCCCTTATCCTCTGTCATACCCTCACCCCCTCTCACGACAACGCTCAGTGGCATGACCCCTTCACTCCCGGCATCTTCTCTTGAGTCTCCTGCCTCGGCTGCAGTATCACGCCCTACACTGCCCCCTCGCCCAGTTCGTATGCGAAGGCCTAACACAAAATATTTTAACTCTGATTTTGTGTCTGGTCATCCCTCAGTCAACACTGTAACTAAACATCCCCTTCCTCTTACCCATGAGCCTAAAACCATTACTCAAGCACTCAAAGATACTCGTTGGAGAAATGCAATGGATGAAGAATATCAGGCCTTGATTCGAAATCAGACATGGGAGTTGGTCCCACGCCCATCTCAACGGTCTATCGGCTGTAAGTGGGTATTCTGAATCAAACAAAAAGCGGATGGGACGATCGATCGCTATAAGGCTAGACTTGTTGCAAAAGGTTTTCTTCAGGAGGCGGGGCGTGACTATTTTGAGACTTTTAGCCCGGTGATGAAGCCGGTCACTATCCGGCTTGTTCTTAGTATTGCTTTGGTTAATAAATGGCCGCTCAGGCAGCTTGATGTGAATAATGCTTTTTTTGCATGGCAAGTTGAATGAACAGGTATTCATGGAACAACCACCTGGTTACGTGAGTCCCGAGTTTCCTAACCATGTTTGCAGGTTGTCTAAGGCCCTTTATGGTCTTAAGCAGGCTCCTCGCGCCTGGTATGAGGCGCTTTCTCGTTTCCTCTTGGCCTCGGGTTTTGTGAAATCTCATTCAGACACATCACTTTTCATCTATCATCGGGATGATATACTTGCTTATTTCTTGGTTTATGTGGATGACATAATACTTACTGGAAGCTCGTCTGTGTTTTTGACTCAATTTGTGCATGCCCTAGCTACTCAGTTTTCTTTAAAGGATTTGGGTCCGTTGAGTCATTTCTTGGGGGTTGAAGTTGTTCCTACCACGATGGGTCTCTTTTTGTCTCAATCGCAGTATATCTTGGATATTCTTGAAGATGCCTCCATGACTGGAGCAAAGGAAATTGGCACACCAATGGTTGCTGATGCTCTTCACGTTCCCATGGCTACTACCAAAACTGTTGATACCACGGCTTATCGGCGTCTTCTTGGTCGCTTACAGTATCTCTCGTTGACTCGTCCTGATGTCTCATTTGCTGTCAATAAACTGGCACAAGTCATGCATGCCCCGACAGATACACATTGGTTGGCTCTCAAACGGGTTCTGCGCTATCTTAAGGGCACTCTATTTCATGGATTGTTCCTGTCCAGGCAGGTTCCGATGACTCTCACAGCCTTCTCTGATGCTGACTGGGGTGGCATCACCGAGGGAGGTCGTTCCACAACTGCTTATGTACTTTACCTTGGGCCCAACATTATATCTTGGAAGTCTATCCGCCAGAAAAGTGTATCTCGTTCTTCTACAGAAGCGGAATATCGTGCTTTGGCCAATGTAGCAGCCGAACTCCGGTGGGTTCAGAATCTCCTCTCCGAGCTTTGTATCTCCTTAACGAGGCCTCCATTGCTACACTGTGATAATTTGAGTGCTCTTCATGTTTGCAAAAACCCTGTTTTCCACTCTCGCATGAAGCACATTGCATTGGATTATTTTTTTGTTCGTGAATTGGTTGCTGCAGACAAGCTCCGCGTTTCTCATGTTCGCTCTGCGGATCAGATTGCTGATGTACTAACCAAGCCTCTCCCTCGTGCCTTGTTTACCAGGTTTCGTTCCAAGATTGGCGTATCCGACGGATCCTCCATCTTGCGGGGGCGTGTAAAGGATAATCACTAATCATTAACTACATTTAATGTATTACCTTACTTATTGTGATTGATTCTAAAGGAGTAAATGGCATGTAACTCCCCTGGGACTTAGGCTATTATTGTGGAGCCATTAACACTCTCTTGATTGTAGTTGACTATAAATATAACATCTGTAAATCATGTTTAGCAATGAAATAAGCCTTCTCTATATGATAGAAGACACACGCAGAGATTGAGAGCTGAATCGGCACAACTCACGCAAGCGGCAAATCCGGCAATTGGGGCTTCTTAATATATATCTAAAGTCCTCAAAAAATATCTATCTATATATAAATATATATAACATTAAAAAATTTTGGGCCCTATAAAACTTGGACATGGTTCGGTCGGGTAGCTCGTCTCCCATGAGCTTGCCCTATTCTTCCTTGACTTGAGTGGTAAGAAATCACTCTTCAAGATTGATGGGTAAGGATATGAGTCCCAAAAGACACTAGCGGATGCACATATGTACAATGGCGGATCCACTTACAAGGAGTAGGGGGCAAATGCCCCCAACTAAATTTTTGTCATAAGGTTAAAAATATTATTTTTTAAAATTTTATATACATATGCCCCCAACAAAAAAATAATGTGATCTTATCTAATTAGGTAAAATTTAAATTTTTTGTTTAATTTTTTTAGTAAAGAGTATTTTATTGTATAAAATTAATTGTTTATAAAATAAAATTTCACCTTACATATTAAAAAATATTTTACATTTAATAAATATTTGAAATAAGACTAATTATTTTTTGTCATCTCAAATAGTCTATCAAAAAAATTCAGTGACGCTGTTCTCAGACTTCCGATCAATGCTGCCCCCATCTACTTCAATTCCTGGATCCGCCACTGCATATGTAGGAATGGGGGCACTTGCCCCCAGTGACTTTCTAACTTTTTAAATAAATATTGTAACTATTTTAAAAACGTTAAAAGGCTCCTATTAATTTTCCAAACTCTACTTGGGTAAAGAAAAAACGTGTCAAACCATTTCTAATGCTAAAGTGAAAATTTGTTTGGTAATCAATTTACGGAGTAAAAAAATTCTAAATTCAAAATTAATTATTTACTTAATTATTATTTATATCTCATTGTATTTCTCTCGTTTAATTTTTTTGAGTTCAACTAGAAAATTTTAATCATCGATTAAACAAAAAATTGTATTAGATATTGCTGGATAAATAATTTGATTAGATTTCTCCAATTGAAAAATTTTAGAAATTTATTTTGCTGTATTAGTATCTAACACAAATATAATATAATTGATGATTAATTGATACACTTTGACTAAAAAAAGTCAAACTAAATATATATTGTAGAAAGAAGATAGTATAAATTATGTGTAGCAATTCACGAGATTGAAATGAAATTTAGTATTATTTTTATCATTTCATATTGTTTTTTTAAATCAGGCAACGCTCCCCTCTGGCACCCTCATATTCTTGCCCCCAGTCTTCTAATTTTTTGGATCCGCCACTGCCAAAAGAGGTAGCAACAATGACTTACTAGCGTCATTATGAAAATATAAACGTATATTTCGTATTACATTACAATCGAATCAATAATACTAAAAGATAAAAAAATATTTCGTATAATCTAAATCTAAGAAAAATGGGGAGAGAGAAATTAGCTATCTTCTAAAAACTCGAAACTCGAATATCGAGAAGGTATATGGTACAACCGGATGTACCTAGAGATAGGTGCATCTTGGATAATACTCATTCTGAAGTAAAAGTAGTACCTTTTCTCGCACAAATATAATTAGTATAGTACTCATTCTAACATAATGCAGTACTCATTTTCACACATTGGTTCAATATAATTATATAATTCATCTACAAATAATGTAGTGTTTATTTTGAAATAAAACTGTACTCATTCTCAAATAACTTAATGTTCATTCTCATGTAAAAATAAAATTCATACCATAAATATTTTCTTGGTTATATCAGATGTATAATCCAATTTGTCTCGAATATCCACTATCATTTTAAAAATAGTCATTTTTAACACCTTTCCATTTTCTCTTATTCTTTTTTATTTTGTTTTAATTTTTTCAGCTTCTTCTAAAACATCCACACTTTGTTTTGAACATACATGGATTGAGCTATGTCTACCCCAACATTTATACCCCACAGGTTTGCACCAACATTTTGTGTTGGTGTAAAACTAATTTTTGTTAATACACCAACACTTTGTGTCCGTATAAATTTTTGTTAACGCACCAACACTTGTGTCGGTGTAAACTATCAAAATATTTGTGCATAACTGTGTTGTAAAAATGAGGTACATTTTTTGCTTAATTTTAGCATGGTCCGAACATACATAGCCTACTTGACTACTTTCGGATGTGATGGGTCTGCTGAAGTCAGAACTTACCTTCCTAAAATGATCCAAATCACTCCGTAATTTTAAAAACAACAATTCGAGGCCTGGATTTTCTGTTTAGCAACATTTTACGAAAATTTCCATAAAGTCGGAATATGATGCATTTGTTCATCGGAATTATAGATTTCTTATTTATGGATAATGGATTCTGTTTTTTATAGTTTCCCTTTCCATTGCAATTCTGGATATCCATTCCAGATCCGTTCACGCCTAAGTATTCTCTGACGAAGTCACGAAGAAGATCAGCCGCTCTCTTGATTACCAGGTGAAATTATTGCTCAAGGTCTTTATAATTACTGTTACTTTTGTGTTCAATTCTTAAATTCATTAGAACTAAAGTTTAATTGCTTTTACTTTGGGAAAATAGTTTTTTTTTAAACTTTTTTTTGTAAAGTTATTGCTTTTGTTCCTTAAGGACATGGTGCATGATTGAAAAGAATGGAGAGTGAAGATATTGATAATCACATTGGGAGATTGTGTATTGTAGTCATCCGTAGTAGACTTCAGTTATTTGGAGTATGAACTAAGACTTGTATATTGAGATTAATGTCTGATTCTTGGTGTTGATGTTCTTATAATATCATAGTTGTTGAGAGGGTAATTGTAACTTGCTAGTGATATGTATTACTCCCTTTGTGCCTACCATTTCCCTTTTCATCCCTCCTTAAACTATTGCTCATTTCCTTTTACACTGTTTGGTTCAAGGAATTTGAAAATCATTTTTTCAAATAAGTAAGAAGATGGAAGAAGATGGTAAGGAAAAGAAGAGAATGTTTTCTTTTTCTTTCCTTCCTAAATTCCTTGAATCAAACTTAGGGTTAGTGAAAGAAACATGAGTCATGTGCAGCCACACAACTTTCGTTTTCTTAAACCCCTTCAAAGTGGGCTATGTAAGAGGGGGGCAGGGGGCACAATAATCTAACTTGTGAGTGAGTTAAGAAGTACGTATTAAGGAGATTAGTTCTCTTTTAGTACTAGCAAGTCACAAAATAAAAATTATGAGCAAACAAAAGATAAAGAAACACATAATTAGTAGAATGCTTTTTATGTGAAGATTGAGGTGGCCTAACCCACTAAATATGACCCTTTTGTCAAGAAATCAAAGGTGTATGTGAAAATATAAGCAGAAAGAACAGAACAAGGTTACTCATTAGGTCTAGGAGAGGTAATGATTGAGAAGTTCTTTGTTCATTCGTATAAGCTGCAGGAAAGGAGCTAGACTGCTCTACAATACAAAAGTTTAATGAAGTAGGCAGTACTATTTTTAGGCATATAGGCTGTCTATATAGTGGGAAAGGGATTCATCATTGATCTGAGCTTACTTTCTTACATCAATGTGCTTCTTTCATACCCTACACACACCTTACTTCTGGTGACACCATCTTACCACACATGCTCCTCTAGTCTCTAATCCTTCAACTATAGTGCTTACCCTGGATGATGACAACATTGTGAAGTCATCCTGGCCTTTTGGGTTTGCCAGATCCATTACTGCTTAGAACTTGGGTTGGTCAGTGTAATTGTACCCAGATCATAGACCCGAACAATGTAAACACTGACCATGATGATATCCTATTTATATATCCATTAAGCATTTAACTTTAGTGTCAATGATAACCAAAGATAGGCTGATCTGTATCATTTTTATTACTTCATCTCCACATATGTGTGGAAATTCAGTTTTCGTAGTTGTTTCTTTCCTTCTGATACCTTTGTATATTTCCTTCAGCTATGTGAATGGCTATGAATTTAAGCAAGGGCATACGCTGGCTATTTAGCAAGTTATACTTATAATGAATGAAAATGTTTTAAAAAGAGGAGAGAAGATTTTTAGATGTCAAACGGTCACAACTCTGCTATGAAATATCTGACATTTGGTTCTTCATTCGCGTCAACATCTTTAATTCACTATTTTTCCCTATCCTTATGAGACACACACACACAGATATATATATATATATATGTGTGTGTGTGTGTGTGTGTGTGTATGTATGTATATACATATATGTGTGTGTGTGTGTGTGTGTATATATATATATATATTTATATGGAAATCATTTTTTGTAGCTGTTTCTTCCCTTCTGATACCTTTGCCACTTTTCCTTCAGCTATTTTAGCGGCTATGTATTTAAGCAAGGGCATACGCTGGCTATGTAGCAAGTTATAATTATAACGAATGAAAATGTTTTAAAAAGAGAAGTTGAGAAAAGATTTTTTGATATCAAACCGTCACTTCTCTGCTATCTAATATCTGAAATTTGGTTCCTCATTCACGTCAAAATCCTTAAATCACTATTTTTCCATATCCTTATGAGACATGATGAGACGTGTGTGTCATGAATATCCTTAATTCAGTATTTGTCGTATGCATCGGAATTAATCAATATGTGAATTGCCAACAAGTATGGTTTTTAGAAACATGTGTTGCATTTATTTATTACATTGGTTTTGATGCCATTTGCATGTCTATATATGTTCCAGATGGATTCCAACTCAGAATATACTCCTGGCCTTTCTTCTTCTTCCTGTTCGTTATGTCTAAAAATCTTGACATCTGACAATGACACCACTGACTTTGAAGCAGTAAATATGTGTAGTGATTGCAATTTCTTGGTCCTAGAAGACCTTGATTCCCCCATGAGAGACGTGTATCAGTGGAGATCATCTGGGTTTAGGAGAACAAGGTATAATAGCAGTGCTGAGTCCATTGAGAATCTTTTTCCACAACAGGTCTCATATGTGTTTAACTTCGCAAGGGAACACCAGGACAATGTGTTGGAGCACGATGATCATTCTGTTGATGCAGATGGTGGCTCCAGATCATTGCAATGTACAAGCTCTAGCCCAACTCCCAGTGGATCTAGGAGGTTGAGGAGGGTGCTCTCTGATACTGAAAGTGATGGAATTGGACCTGGCATTGCCGAGAGCGAATCAAATATGAGATTTGGTGGCCACTACAGGGTCGTGGATGGCGAAAATGAAAGTATTTCCTATGGATGGAGCTCTAATGCTTCTGATGACGGCAGTAGCTTACTTGGCATTGAAAATTCTGCATATGAAGGAAGTGATGTCCAAACTGATACAGACATTGACCCCATGCATGCCGGTATGTATCATTGGAACTCAGATGATCAAGAAGAGGATGCCAGCGGATGGGAAGAGGCTGGCAGTGAGGAAACCATATTTGGTGGTAGATCTCGGCAAAGGTCATTGAGTTTGACTGAGAGCACTTGGAGCAGACTAAACAACATTCTCTCTGCAGAATCTGAGGATGTTGTGGATGGGCATGAGTTGGACGAATTGGTCGACCATCTCTTTGACGCCGATGGTTTAAGAAGGGGAGCACCACCTGCGGCAGCATCCGCTTTAAACAGCCTGCCACGCGTGGTTATCAGGAATCATGAGCAGCTTGATGGCATGGTTTGTGCAATATGCAAGGACTCACTGTTTGTGGAGACTATTATGAACCAACTGCCTTGTTCTCATCTCTATCACCCTTCTTGTATCATTCCATGGCTAAGCTCCAGGAACACCTGTCCCCTCTGCAGATATGAGCTTCCAACTGACGATCAAGAATACGAGGACAAGAAACATAGGAACCGTGAAATTCAGCAGAGTGACATGAATGGCGATGGTTCCTCAGATGTGGTTAATGCTGCTTCTGAAGCAATCAGTACGGGTGGTTCTCGCTCGGGAGGACCTCAGGGGAGATGGTATTCTATAGCTGCTGCTGCTGCGGCACCTGTTATAAGTGTTGTCGGCATTGCCCTTTTGTTGTGGTTGGGCAACCCATTGACAGAGCCCAGGAGGAAGTCAAGTGTCCTTAAAGTATTTTCTTCTCACAGACAGCCTTCAAATCACCGTGGCAGGAGAAGGTGGAATCTGCTCTAACACCTTCAATTCAATCGCCTGATTTTTTACTCTGAAATTGAACCCGGAAGCTGGCCTCCATTTTCAGCTTGAATTGTTGCCCCTTGGGGAAAAAAATATTCAGGTATACAATGTATTTGCGACATGTTTATGTAATGTAATCATGTTACTGACCAATTCCGAGTTTTTCTTCTCTTCTTTGGAAGTAGACTTGGCAAAACAGAACTGGAACCGATTATCCCAACCAAATTATCCGAAACCGAAACTGAAATGATCTGAAAAATGAAGATCCGATCTATAACCGAAAATACGAAATGATCCGAACCGAACGGAAACCGAACTAAATAATTCATATTCAATTTAAATCCGAAACTGATTAGATTTAAAACCGATTATATCTGAACTGAATAAACCCGAAACTGATTCGATCCGAAATCGGTAATACCCGAAACCGGTAAAACAAAAAACCAATTACATCCAAAACTGATAATATTCGGAACCGATAAAATCCGAAGTTGTGTTTGCTTTTCAATAAGCATATTATATTTTTAAATTTTTCTTTTGATTTTACCATTTGAACTAATTTCATTACTTGTTCATTTCCTCATAAAATGGATTATCATTTTTTTTAAAATTACTAAATCTCATGCCTTAGATTTATTGTATTTGGGAATTGAACAAAAGTTATACATATAAAATATGGGATGAATATAGTGAGGCAACTATTATGTTATTAAAAAAATTAAATGTAATAAAATATTTGATAAACAAGGTAAAATATCAGTTGAAAGAAATTATGTCTGAGTTTATTTTTTTAGAAATCACCTTAAATATGACTAAAACATAGAGAAAAAAGTACCAAAATAGGACTTTCATGTTTTTTCCTGAAATAGGACTTTGCACTGTGGTAATATGGTATTGTACATGTGTACATTACTATACTTTTTTGGTAATGTACATGACTATGTTTGGTAATGTAAGTCCTATTTCGGGAATAAAAAATGAAAGTCCTATTTTGGTATATTTTCAATGTTTTAGTCCTACTTTGGTCTTTCTCCCTTTATTTTTTATCTTTGCATTTATAAACATAAAGATATATTGATAAATGTGATAAAACAAAAACAAAAGAAATTTTGATAATTAAATTTCAATTAGTAAATAATACATATCCAAAATATATTTGATTGAAATATAACCGAATAGAAACATATCCGAAACCAAAATATATCTGAACAAAACTAGATCCGAAACCGAAACATATTCGATCCAAATTGTATTCAAACAAAAATCTATCCGAACCGATTTATTTCTTAACCGTATTTGAACCGACTTGAAACCAAACTAAAACTGAAAAATGTATAGAACCGAATCAAATCTGAACCGAAATTAAACCGACCGGATCCGATCCATACCGATTATAACATATGTTAGAGACAGAAGAAGGAAGCGGGGTTGAAGAAGGAAACTGAATCCCTTTGGGATTAGGTTTTGTATATTTCTTAGTTTGTTTAATTCTTATTTTAGTAGGAATAGAAATTTCCTTGTTTGCTTTACCATCTTCCTATATAAAGAGAGTTAGATCTTTGTATTCACAAGCCAATTCAATATATATAAATATTTTCTCTCTTATTTTCTTTATGGTTCCAGAGCAAGTTTTGAATTCTTGAGACCTCAAACACGCTTTTTTCCCTGCCGGTGGGCATATACAATTCAATGCTTATCGGCGGGATTTTGTGATTTTTGATTTTCTTTGATTGTTCTCCCTCACTAAATAATATCATGAAACCTAGAAATTAAATTTCTGCGGCTACTGTTCACGATCGCCCGACATCGCGTCCATCGATTGTTGCTCAGTTTCTGTCGTTCGTTGTTGCTGCTGGATAACGGAACAGTCGACCGTGACTTCAAAATGGTCGAGTACATCGGCTGTTCTGTCGGTAGCCTCCTGGTTTCTGTTGCTGTTTCGACTCTTCTTTGACGCATAATCATCTGGTATGTCTGAAGAGGCATCCATGAAGATTATTTCCAACAATAAGAATGAGGAACGAGAGGAAGAGGAAGTTGGGGTGCGACGTCGTCGTATCTCTCCGTATGATTTGTCCTCGAGCAACAATCCGGGTATGATTTTGACCGATGTCGTTCTGAAGGGGGTTTATGATGAATGGTCCAAATCTTTGCGTTTGGCTCTTCGAGCACGCAAGAAGTTTGGATTTGTTGATGGAACAATTGGGATACCTGATCCTCACCTCATTCAAAGAAGAAATATCAGCAGACAACAAGGTTTTCTCTCCCTCCAACTGAGTGCATTTCTCCTCCTGTTGGATAATCCAATTCAGGAGATCAGTGTTCTGCTGGCTCTCTTCGAGATACTTGTTTGCATAATGGTCAATAGCCTCTCTATGTTCCTACTTCTCGATGGCAAACAACTTCCTCTATTTTTCCAGAGTCAAGTGATGGTCGGTCATTCGAGAGCAGAGCTCCATCTACTTGAGAAAATCCTATCAGAAACGGAAGTTACTGTCAAAGATTCACCCAGATTAGTTATGATAAAGGAAAGGGAAGTCTGGGGTACCAACCGTGTCGATGTTGAGAATAGCAGAATGGACCAAGTCTAAGTAGTCCTAGAAAGAAAAGGTGGCCTGGTCGGAAGAGGGCACTGCAAACTAGAAAGAAAAGGTGGCCAGAAGCCGAAAAGGGGGAATCCAGCCCGATGGAAACGAAGACGAAGAAGGGCTTCTATTCATGATTTGAACCCTTCTTGTTGCTCTTAAAGAGCTTACTAGATCTTTGGGACAAGGAGGCATATGAAGCCCATTCCCCCGTTCTCTTCGTCAACTTGAACAGGAAGATGAATTGTTCAAGGGAGGGGATAACTCCCGTCGAGCGATACCTAAGTAGGTAACCCGCCATGTATCTATAGGAGCTGGGGACCAGTTGACATAGCAGGAGGTCGTGATGGTGGAAAGTGAAGAACCCTTTTGGGGAGTCCAGAGCAATAGCTATTTTGCTCAGCCTAAGGACTTAAATCATAGGTCCCACCATATCCGTAGCGTCTGCAAAGTCTTGATCTAACATCTGAGAATGGCACAAGACCATTATATTCCCCTCTAGATCAACTTGGGGGTGGACGAACCAGAGTCAAGGGAGTCGTACCGCTTTTGCAGCCAATGCTCTTAGTGGTTGCCAGGGTAATCTCTTGAAGAGGAGCCATGACCGACGGTGAAACGGGCTCTAGTGACGCATTTGAATCGGAAATTTGTCCAGGATACGACGGTTCATTCACCCCTTGAGGGGTCAAATCAATGAGGGGCGCCGATAAACCTAGATCAGAAGACATATCGTTCAGGAAAAGAAAATCTAACCTGGAAATATAGAGGAGATCAAAGCAGAGAGCAGATTTTGGATTAGAGGATGACAGGACGAGGTAAAGAGACGTTGAGCGGCGGCGTGGTGGATTTATCGTAGACAAAAAATAGGGTGAAACGAAAAGTAATGATGGAATTGGTGAAGATCATGCCTAACCACTCGATCAAGGAGATAAGACGGCTCTTGGGCAATTACCCACGAAGAACATGTGTGCGAAGGGCACATGTTAGGTCGGACAATGGAAGACTCCTCATCCCTCGAACGGCCCATTCAAGGCATGTGGAGTGGGGGCATGTGATGGGCTATTAGGCTAACTCAGAAGCCCAGCCCAAAGATATCTATATAATATGACTCTAGCCCCTTTTGCCCTATGATCTGGTGCGCCGAGTGGTTGCCCATCACAATTGGTCCGGGTTAATTCCGAATGGACTCAATGCAGCATCGCATGTGGGTACGTTGAAGTAGCGGTTAGGGCGGGATTAGGTTACGACTAACGTGGCTTGAGAGAATCAATCATGATCTGCTTACCTTGTTTATCACTTACGTTAGGTGTATCGTGTAATTACTATAAATAGGGGGAGAAACCATTAGAACCACCAAGCTAATCCTAGTCAATTCAATATCATAAGTTCTGTATTCTCAAGCTCTATATTGTCATTGCAATTCTTAATAATTCGATCATGCCCCAAAGTAATATCATTTCTTAGAATTCTTTTCCATCAATCAGCAAACCCTTATCAGCCACCCCCTTTCGTGGGCAACCCACCATCACCGACCACCATTGCCGGCAGCCTCTCAATGTTATGCACCGCTCTTGGCATCCCACCATCATTTCCCACTCACTATCACTAGTCACAGACCAATGCCGACCCCCCCCCCCCCACACCTATGGCCAATCCTACATGTCACTAACTTCATTTTGTCACCTAATTTACAAATTATATTCCGTCTGATACCTAACGACTTTGTTAATCCGTTTATCATGTTGTTAATTCACCACAGTCCTATTCACATTGGGGTTTAATGTCATATTATGACATCGAGTACCTACAGTGCTCCAATTAAAAATTTGATAGTTCCCACTTCCCATCCTCTAACCCCCCTCCCCACCTGCCCCGCCCAGCCCGACTCAAATGCAACTCCGCACTTCCTACAATTCTACCACCTAAAATTTGTTGGATTTGGGGTCAATTTTTTGAAAAACGAAAATAATGTGAGAATATTCTATTGGGTGTGAGTTTAAATTAATAAACTGGAAATGCATCACTATTTTATTAGATATTCTTTTGAGTTTGAATTTAGAGCATTTTTAAGTTTAGGTTTGGTGTAATGACTAATGAGTTAGAGATGTTTTAAGTATGAGACATCTTATCTAATTATCTCTTTAGAGCTTTTAGCTATATGGGATAACCCAACACCCAATAACTAAGTTTGTTTTTACTATGACTACTGCAACAAAACAACAACAATAATTCTGTCTCAATATGCTCGTCCAATTGGACTTCTCACTCTTCAAGATGAGAGATGGCCTCTTTTTATCTCATGCTCCATNAGTTTGAATTTAGAGCATTTTTAAGTTTAGGTTTGGTGTAATGACTAATGAGTTAGAGATGTTTTAAGTATGAGACATCTTATCTAATTATCTCTTTAGAGCTTTTAGCTATATGGGATAACCCAACACCCAATAACTAAGTTTGTTTTTACTATGACTACTGCAACAAAACAACAACAATAATTCTGTCTCAATATGCTCGTCCAATTGGACTTCTCACTCTTCAAGATGAGAGATGGCCTCTTTTTATCTCATGCTCCATGTAAAGATTGGAGTACATTACAATGATTTTGGATTTTTTTAGTTTTTGCATTATAAAACCACTTTCTTATCATAAGGCGAAATCTAGACAAATACATTGAGGCAGGAGTAACAAAGAAGGCTTTACAACTGCAATAACGACATTATCTCCTAATCTATCTGTACCCTGATGTACGAGGCTTGTAATTTATACAGATGTTTGTGAGCTGTGATGGGGAATGTTACACCACTGACCAAGTCTGCTTCAGAAGTGGGAAGAACCCGTTGAATTTCCTGCCGTATCTGAACTCATTGATGACAACATTCCATCTAACTTCTTGCTAGAATTTGGTGTGTGAACTTCTTCATCCGGCATCATGCCAAGAATGGCCTCTAGTTCCCTGACCACTTCAAGCATCGGCAACCTTTCTACCTGATTGTCATTGCTACACCTTAGTGCCAATGCTACAAACCTCTCTGCGCACTCTGAGGGGTAAGAACCCATTCTACTGTCCAGAATAGATAAGATTTTTCCAGATTGATGTGCCATGTTGACCTGAGATCAAAGTTTTTTTGGAAATTGTTACCTTGAGTTCTTTTCTTTTCTGGTTTCAATGCTTTTCATGAAGATGGGAAACTTCTTGTAGCGTGTTTGAGAAGTGAGCAGAGCAAATGCAGAACTAAAAACAGTTAAGAAGAATAGCATGACATACCTCACGAACAATATTTTTACCATTGGATATCGGACGCATGCCTGTCAAGATCTCCAGAAATACCACCCCAAGGCTGTAAACATCACTTTTATCGGTCAACTTGTGAGTAAGGCAATATTCAGGATCAACGTAACCCTGCACGTCCAAACACAATTTCATGGGATTTAAACTTTTAAAAGAGTACAAGAATGCCTGTTTAATCTTGACAAAGAGAGGCGAAACGTACAGGTGTTCCCCTCACAATGGTGGATACGTAGTTGGGTAGCATCCCTTCATCATTTATGACAGGTGCAAGCCGTGACAGTCCAAAATCAGCAACTTTCGCTGTGAGTTTAGAGTCTAGGAGTATGTTACTGGCTTTGATATCTCTGTGGAATATTGGAGGGTGAGCTTCAGTGTGGAGGTAAAGAATACCCTTAGCTGCACCAAGTGCTATACGTAATCGTGCTCCAAACGTCAAACTTTGATTGCATTTTTCTGTAAAATTGAAAGGAAAAAGAAGGTAAACAAACCCGTAGGAACTGACACCCCACTGGTAGCATTACGAGGGTTGTAATCACTAGCCTATGCCAAAAATGACAAAGGAGTGTTCACTTTCTGAATGGAGATATAATGTCTATATGCATGCTATTGTACCAAGGTCACCCCTCTTGTATCTTTAATTTCTGATTTCAAATCATAACCCTAGGGAACATAAATAAATCATCGCTATAAAACATTAACACAAAGCAGACTAGATCACAACATTTTACTGTTTCCATACCAGAAAGCCATTCTCGCAGTGTGCCATTGTGCATGAACTCATAAACTAGCATCTGCAAAGTGCAAACCCACCAACAAGAGACTGAGAATAATCTTGACTTATTTATGCATTATGTTACGTGTATTTTGTGCAGAAACAAAAATGTTTGAGCCAAGATTGCTCTAAAACAGAGTTAGGAGCTATTTGGTTTGTTGTATCATGGGATGATTTGGAGGAACCACGAACAATTCCTCCCTATCCCATGATAATTATGACGGACACTTGATTAGGTCCTAATACACTATACTCAATTACTCACACAGTCATACCTAATCCGAAAAGTGGAACAATGCAAACAATTCTTTCACTTACAAACTGTAGCCAAACTCCCAAGTCTAGAGAGCAGGCTAGTTTACGTTAAGCATTCATATTATGCATAATCGATCGGAATATTTAGGAGCCTTCCCCGACTCAGCATACCTGCTCCCCTTTTTCATCACAATATCCAACCAGTGAAACGAGGTTGCGGTGATGTAACCTTGACAATATTTCTATTTCTGTCAAAAATTCCTTTTGTCCTTGCAAGGACCCTTCTTTTGCTCTCTTGATCGCTACAACTGTTTTGTCAGCTAAATTTCCCTGGTAAACTATCCCATAACCACCTTCACCAACTTGAGTTGAGCTATCAAAATTACGAGTAGCCAATGCCATTTGTTTAAAGCTGAAGCTTTTAACACCATCAATTTTGATACAGAGCTTTGGGGCTACAAGAAGGCGCATTCAAAATGATTGGGAGTAGTCAACATATATATTAGACATAAGCAAAAGCAACTAGATCTGAAAGCTTACAGAAGTGCTTCCTTAATATGGCTCCTCGATATCTAGCATGCCTTCTTAAAATTAAAATAGTAGCAATCGTAGTAATTGTTGCAGCAAAAACAGCAGCGGTAGTAATACAAGCTATAAGCACACCCTTTTTTGTAACCTTGCCTTCAGAAGCAAACTTGACTGCAGCAGTACATAGACAGATCAGTAAGATAAAAACATCAAATAAAGATGTGGTTAGAATGCATGAAGCTTCTACCAGTAAAACTATGAACAAGGCCGTAGATAAGAGTGCTTACTATATGAATATGGACCAAGAAGAGTGAAATTAAGAAGTTCATAAGGTCCAAAAAAGTTATTTCCAGGAAAATTCCAATCTCCAAAAATGTCACGGATACGAAGCACCTCACTTTCATTAAATGTCTGGTTGACACCGACCACAGGGAAAAGCTTCAAGTACATCCTGAGGCGAGGTCCTTCTTCCCAGCATTGTGAATCAATGGACAATTGATATGGTTCCAGATGTAGAGAACTAGTTACATAAAACTCAAAATGTTCAATATATGGACGGATGTAAGAAAAGCTAGGACTTTTCAGCCTATATCCAATTCTTATAGGTGAGGCACAGAAGCATGGGGTAGGTGACGCAGGGACATATTCATAGTAATTGTCAGTTGGACAAGCTTGAACTGGACATGCAACAGTCAAATTTGTCGAAGTATTTGGCTCTTCACTTTTTCCACTTCCATGTCCACAATATTGGTCAATGTTTCTGATGCTGGTGTTGCTGCAAATGGGATTCCCTATAAGCCTGGAAATAAGTTGTCGAATTTACTTCTGGCACAAACAAATACTTAGATAATGTAAACACCACACAATGTACGGTTTAGGGTTGCTATGTTTACTATAATCGGGCTAAGTCTATTAAGGTTGGGGGACAACACTAAACATACAACATTTATTATATGCACATGTTTTGCTTGTTTTAGTTCTGACTTCTGATTAACTTTCAGGCTGTTAGATTTAATCGGGTTCGTTCACATATAACCGAATGGTTAATGAGTCAATGTTTGGGTCAGTTAGTATGGTGTCGTTTAGTGTGTTTTACATACTTAAGTATTTTTTTTAAAAAAAAATGGGTAGTTTCTAAAAGCAGTTATGGATAGTTTCTAATTATAATAGGTGTGTTGGTTTGTAATAGTTGTCTCAGTTTGTTCTCTATTTATATCCAGGAACACCAAGAATCCTGTACAAGTTAACAACAATAAAATACTCTGCTTTGCTTTTCTGTCTATCAACTGGTATTAGAGCGGTCTCAATTGCGATTAGGGGTTGTGCGATCTACACCAGAAGGGATCGGCCACATCGTAAAACAGAGCATTTCAACTTCTTCAACAATCGATCAAAAAATCCTTGACAAGATCTCTTCCTCGCTTGGAAAAAGAACATCAAGTTGCTAGTTTTTTTTTGGCAGAAGTATTCCCCAACTAAAAGGCGCTGGAAAAACGAATCATGGGGTAGCTTTCATTTAGCGGCTTGGAAGACGAAAAAGCAGGGGCTTGTTTTCAGGTTGATGGTTGATTGCAGGTGGCTTACGACCCGAAGGAATCGAAGTCTTAAGAATTTTGCAAAAATTGTCAAAAGAATGTCGTGCAATGGAAGACAACCCAAACAGACAGATTGTGACTGCAAGAGAGAATAGTTCACTATCTTTTAAGGTTCTAGTTCATAATGCTACAACTACAATATTTGGACCGTGAAGATCAAAGCAATTTTTAACGGTAATGGGATTTTGGAGGTGATCGAATTAGGAACAGAAATTGATCCAAAGAAGAACAATATGGCAATAGACTATCTGTTTCAAGCTTTGCCGGAAGAGATCGTGTAACAAGTTGCTCAGTTTACTGAAGCTAAAGAAATTTGGGATACTTTGAAGCCTCGCTTTGTTGGTATTGACAGGGTTAAAGAGGCATGGTTAGAGACACACGAATCAGATTTTGAGTCTCTAAAGATGAAGAACAATGAGTCACTTGAAGATTTTGCTGGTAAAATTAGTCAACCTGCAACACAAGCAAGCAACCTAGGGTCTGCATTTGAAGACAAAAGATTGGTTCAAAAGCTTATGGGTTCTGTACCTAAAACTTTCATACATATCGTTGCTGCAATCGAACAGCTTGCCGACATTAACACAATGTCATTTCAAGAAACAGTTGGAAGATTGAAAGCATTTGAGGAATGCATAAAAAAACCAAGTGAGGAAGGAGATACGCATGGTAAACTACTATTCACTAAAGGTGATGGAAAAGAGAAGGTTAAAGAGCACAAATGTGAGCATTGTGGTTGTTGGACCTCAAACCGAGAAGACTTTAGACAGGGCCAAGGTAGAGGTTGGGGGTCCAGCAAAGGTCAGGATAGTGGTCGATTTCAATGGGATAAAAGTCACATTAGGTGTTTCAAGTGCAACGAGCTTGGGTATTTTATGCACGAATGACCAAAATGGGATCAAAAGGAAGGCATTGCAAATTTAGTTCACATATAATCGAATCGGTAATGAGTCAATGTTTGGGTCAGTTAGTACGGTGTCGTTTAGTGTGTTTTACATAATTAATTTAAACAAAAACTGTTGGGTAGTTTCTAAAAGCAGACATGGATAGTTTCTAATAATAATAACAATGTGTGTTGATCTGTAATAGGTGTGTTAGTTTGTAAAAGTTGTGTCAGTTTGTTCTCTAAATATATTCAAGAACACAAAGAATCTTGTACAAGTTCACAACAATAAAATACTCTGTTTTTGTTTTTGTATGCTCGCTTATCCATGTTTTATAGTGGGAAAAGAAAGAAATGTACCTTAAAGTGACGTTAACCGGAGGATCAAGGTCTCCTAAAATGTTCAAAAGCAAATTATTCTGAAGATCACTAACTCCACAAAATAAATGAAAAAAAAAAACGTTAGTGAAGTATTCCTTCAAATTAAACACTCAAGTATCAACATTTTAAAATCTTACATCCTGAGTCTAGAAGTTGAAGTAAAGGACTTGTTTTTCCAAATATCCGTGGCAAATGAACCATTCAAAAAGTTGTTGTCAAGTGACCTGAAAATAAGGAAAACCCCAACTTCAAAAACGTTTTATTGGTCGAACATTACAGGAGAAGTTTAAGTTACTATCAAACTCAGTTTTCTAAAAGTATGTAGACCCTCACAATCTTTGTAGAGAAGGAAGATTTGAGAAACCTTCAGGGATAGCTCCATTAAGATGATTGTTTGACAGAATACTGCAAAAGAAATTGGATGAAAAATATATCAGAAAATTAAAACAAAATTTTCTTTATTGTTTGACTTTTTTGGTCAAATTTTACAAACTTTGCCCTTAATTTGTGGAAAAATTATATTAAATTATAATATAAATTTAATATTATTGAATTCATTTTAAGAAGTAGTTTTGATATGTAAAATTTTTATAACATTTCTTAATTTAATACTATATTTATTAATGGTCAAAGTGCGTAGTAGTTTGACAAACGGTAAAGAACTTTTTGGGACAGGGGAAGTAATAAATATCCAACAGGTAAAGAATAAAATAATTCCCCTGTATATAACTAATTTCTTGAAGTTGAGCTTTAGACTAGTCAATCTGTGAATTGTGAAATGTGAACCAAGGTTGCTTACATGTTTGTCATATTGTTGGAGAGCTTTTCTAATGGTATAGATCCTGATAGGTAATTCCAACTGAGATCTCTGTAAATTAATAAGGAAGCAAGAATCTAGATAACCATAACCAATCACAGATGGAATCATAAAGAATCAAGCATAGAAGTTGAAGAAACCAATTGAGAAAAGTCGAAAAACAAGCATGATATCAAACTCACACATAGCTTAGGTTATGTATTCTGCTAAGGTCGGGGATGCTTCCTTGCAAGCTGCAATTCCTTAGACTCCTGCTAATTCCAATAAAAAATAAACAAAGAGTCATGAGATATTTTCTTTGAGCAAGTTACGCGGAGATGCTAAACAACTAAGAATCTAATCTTATATGGCGTATAAAAGATCATAAAATTGCTGCACAATATATATTTGTCTATTTTGTGTGCATGTAGACATAAAACATAACATGTATGTCATATATGTAAAACTAAAACATGATCAAATGCATATAAGCACACCAACAATTTAATAGACACAAAATATAATACTCCCTCCGTCTCACCCCAAAAAGCACTCTTGCTTCTTCGGGGGATTAAGTTTAAATTTAGAAGTTAACGAAAGGTAGGGGTGGATGGGTTAAAATAAGAAAGAGAGTGTAAAAGTGATTGAAAAAGCAAGAGAGAGAGTGTGAGTGTGTAAAAGTGATTGAAAAAGTAAGAAAGAGAGTGTAAAAGTGATTAAAAAGATAAAAAAATAAATGAAAAGATAAATTAGTTGTTTCAAATTTGGTAAGACTGCCTTTTGGGTTCGTGGGACAACCAAAATGGCAAGAATGCCTTTTGGGGTGGGACAGAGGGAGTATGTTCAGCATATCTAATTTCCAACATTGAAAAAAGAGTTATATTTTTTTACCTCGTACAAGAATCGGGACAATAGAAAGCTATAGAAGAATATCGGTCTTATAGTTTGAGGCCAAGAGTTGTGAAACAATACCAAGTCCACAAGAGGCCTAGAGGTCAATAGTTTTCTTATCTTGTGGCCCTGAGTACTTTATTATGATTTGGACCAAGCCTTTTGATGAATAAAACAATTCAGAAAATGAAGAACCAGATAAGGCTGAGGAGCACTTACAACTTCACTAGTCCTGACATGTTTCCATATGAAGTTGGAATCTCAGAACCACTGAAATTATTATTATCGAGCTGACTGCAAAATGAAAAACCAAAACTTGATCATCTTGATAGTTAATAGTAGGGCAAAGTACCATACACCGGCGTAGAGGTCCCTATGCAATCTAAAAAGGTGCAAATTAGTCCTTTTTACTCAAAACTGAAGCAATTTAGTCCCTATACTATTCTTGTTTGTTCAATCGGGTCCTTCTCTTATCTTTTTCCCTTACCTACTACCCCAAACTGTTAAAACGATGACGTGTAATTTTATTTAGCTTACATGGAAAATATTGTTGTGACATGCTAGTTCATACATTATTTCTTTTACAATTTTATTTTACTGTGAACTTGCATTTGTTTATTTATTTTATGGAAAACTAGAAATTGCTTATTGTATGATGACTAATGTTGGTCCTTATACTCTTTACCTAACGAACAATTTAGTCACCGTACAATAAGCAATTTTATCCGTATGATTTTCTATAAAATAAAACATATAAAAAATGCACATCGCACTTGGTAAATTTTTTTTGAAATGATTAAGTATGAATCAACATGGCACATCAGAATTGCCTATGCCACCTATATTGTAATTACATGTCATCATTTTAACAATTCGGGGAAGCAGGTAATGAAAAAAGTAAACGAAAGGACCAAATTGAAAAAAATGAATAGTACATGGACTAAATTGCTTCAATTTTGAGTACATAGACTAATTCGCACATTTTAGATAGTACAACGATACTTTGTCCATTAATAGTATATTAGTATCTTGAAAATTACAAAACAAATAGTGCATGTCGTCTAAAGTAATTGTTATCAAATGGAGAGATGATTATAAGTGTTGTATTTGAAATGTAATGTTGTATTATTTCACTGGCTTCACTAATCACATACATATATATACACGTTCTAATGCTTAATTGGGTTCTGCCAATTTAATTAGGGTAACAATCTATATTCTCAAACAATCCCTCTCAAGTTGGAGAACATATATTTGTTATGCCCAACTTCTGTTACGGAGCGTGGAGACTACTCGGAATGAGAAGGAGAGTCTCGAGGCTTGTAACCGTAAAGAGAGAAAAGAAATATAGAGGAAGAGAAATATTTTGGGAAAATATTCTTAGTTCATTACAATCCAAATACCAAATATATATAGGAGCCCACATCAGTGCTTACACGTAAGGAAGGGATATAAAAGGGAAGTTATGAAAGGACAAAACAGTAATAAGTAGCTAATAATTGGGGAAGTCTGCATCAACTTCCTGCAAAGATAATCAAACTTGTCCCAATTAGTGCTTTATTGCTTTTGGGAACAAATACCCAAATTGTTTCTGCCATACTATACTACTGGTGTTTCAGGTGCTTCCACCACCTTTTCTACCCCCAACACGTGGGAGGGATGTCATCAACATCAAGAAGACATTTACAAGAGGAAGGTGTAAAAAGATCACCACATTGTCCACCTCCATTGACTAGCGCCTCACTACAATGGAGAGTGTGTGGAAGTCACTCTTTGATAGATTCCAACACCCGGGCCAGGGGATTGATTTTTTATATATTTGTGATGCCTTGTTATGAAAGCGTTTTCTTTTTTTTGGATATTTGGGTGTTTGTTTTAAGACTTTAGATTGGCGGGGATGTTTTTTCTCCCGCCAATGACTTTTCGTTGCCAACCTCTATGCCTCGCTTCTTATTTTTCTCTATGTGTATGATTATCTTGTAATCCAATTCCACGTTTTTGCCTATCACGAAACACTTGTATCCATGGCTCAGGTAAGTTTCCTGTTTCCCTGCATTTTCAGTGATGAGTTGGCAGGAAGTTGTTTTAAGCGATTACTGTTTTCAATGTCGTAACATCTGTGTGAACTGTTTAACTCCCCCTTTTGCCCCTCAATTTAGTTAGCATTATTGGCCACGCGGACATGGCCGATCCTCAAGTGTTAGGGAGGTGTTTGCTATTATAAATGACATGGGTAGTGTGATTAGTTGAATCTTAGCGCCTTGATGACGATATTTGCATATATGTGTAAATTTTTCACGTACTTTTACATTTTTTATTCATTTGCTCCTCCTAACATTAGTAATTAAGTAAGACATAATTTTTGTTGAATTTATTTACTTTATGGCTTAACTTTGCTCACACTCAGCTCAGACATTATATGATGAAGGCATTTTGTTCCATGTGCCTCTCTTTTTTATCATTATGTGTCCTTGTGAGAACTGGCTGGTTTGGATTACCATTCAAGTAATTAAAATGAAAAGGTCCCATTTTGTATAATTATGTGTGTTGTGCAGAAGTTTGATCGGAAAGAGTGTGTGATTGGAAAGAACATATGGAATACCCTCACTTTGGTACTGGTTGAAAGATGATGGATTTGTTCTGGCTGTAAAAGTCACGCATCTTAGTTGAAGCAGTGTGTCGTGAGGAAAGTGCAGGAGAAGACAAGAAGAGAGAAATTGTCTCTATGTGAGGTGAGAATTTCCTGGCTGTTGAGAAAATTCTCACGGCTTGAAGGACTGAAGGTTAGTAATTGTTGTTTACTTGTATCATTGTGACAGTGTTGTATGATTAATATTCTAGTGGAAAGTTTAATCTGAAAATATCGTGTTTTCCCCTAGTGGAGAGGGGTTTCCAGGGAAATATTTCATGTGTTGTTTTTCATTTTTATTATTCTACACTTAGTTATTATTCTCTACAGTATTTCTTGTTTTTCGATGATTTTCCCAAAAAAAATACCCAAGTTCATACGAGGATAATCATTTAGTAAAGTAACAATATAACGAAAACCTAACTAGACACAACCGAGCAAGCACACCAAATTTCAATAGTTCAATGTGAACTAGTTCAAAGGGGCATGTGCTTGTTTATTGACTCTGATAAGATCCGGATTACTAATAGCAGGCCACCTTAATTAAATTATTATGTGTGGTTTTAATTGAGTTTGTTACTGTTTTAATTAAATAATTATTCATTAAATAAAAAGGACTCAGATTATTAGGGGTCTTTAGCTTAGTTTGTTAGACCTTATCAGTTAGTTGTTTTGAACTTATCAGATCAATTTGTTATTTTGATCTTATCAATTTGTTAGAGTTATTATAAATATCCCAGGTTCTCCATTGCTGAGATATCCAGAAAATAAATCATTATTCACATTGAGATTATCCTGGCTTATATTCCTTTTTCATCAGTGAGATACTTATTAAGAGAAGAAAGGAAGAGTTCTGTTTAGTCTTAATTTAGATCTTGAATTAATTCAATGGGATCGGCCCGGGGTGCTGGTTCAGATTCTACCATTGACCCAAACCAAGAGGGGTAAAAAACTTGACCCAATCTCACTCGCCCCAGCCACTTGCATTCTCAGGATCTTCGGGCTCAAAACCAATATTCTAGTGGAAAGTTTAATCCGATAAACTATAACTCAACATTTAAGAGGGCAACTAATTTTATTTTAAAAACTAAATTTTGAACATAAAATTAGGGAGACTTTAGAAGAAGGTTTGGGTAGATGACAGGACAATGGTACATGATCTAAGTACTAATGAGGTGGATCTGTTAGCCATGGTGGCATTAATATACTTTGTAATTATTAATATAAGGCAGTGTCAAATGATGAAAAAAGACTAGTTATTTTTTATATGGTTTGTTTGCACTTGAACATTAATTTAGTTGACGAAACAAGACAGGTAACCAATAACCTAAACTCCCAATAACTGAGATAGGAGTGCATGAACACTTAGATTCTATAGGTAGTTATGAAACTTGTGTTTTCCTCTACAGTGTATGATAGGGCCTTCCATATAGAATTTTCTAGGAAGCTCGTAACTGTCATTCGTTTGTGTAATAACATGACTAAGGGGCATTATCGTATTGAGCTCTTCATACATCTTTTTGAATCCATGAAGTACATTGTAACCAACTTCTCTCTCATTTCCACCTTGTAAAAGACCTAACACACCATGTACTCTGTATATAACCACACAGAGGAACAAGATGCAGGCTTGAGCAAAGGAAACCAAAAGACGGAAAACAGGCCACGCCTGGACAAGGTATGGCTTAATAATAGACCCTGGCACATTGATGTTTGCCTAAACCATAAAAAACCCTAAACGCAAAATTAAAAACCCTAAACCCTAAAAAACCCTAAACGCAAAATTAAAAACCATAAAAAACCCTAAACCCTAAAAAACCCTAAACGCAAAATTAAAAACCCTAAAAAACCAGAAAAATCACATCACGCACCAGCACAGCATCAGACGCTAGAAGCGGGATGTGTGACTCACTCGCGAGGAAATCTGGACGATGGGAAGTCCGTGGTGAACTTGTTAGCGGCAAGCGCACCACCTGGGATGCTCAGTATCTGGAATAGTATGTGAAGTGGCATGACTTTGAAAGGAAGGAAATGGGGTTTCTAAAATAACAAAGTTTCTAAAAAAGCTTTAGAGATATTTGCACTAAATAGCACTAAAACGTAAGTCATTTCCCAATGTAAGACTTAAACTTTTTATTCCTTAAATAGCACTTAATAATGTCTAGAAGGAGGAATAATCTCCAGTGATGGTGAACATTTACTTGAATAACGACTAATGGATAATGACTAAAAGTGCTCCATTGAGAAATAAAAGCATATGATGCTATTTAGGGAAAGTCATTATGTTTTGGTGTTATTTAGGTAAATTCCTCAAAGCTTTAATGTTCTGCGAACTGCTCTTATATGATGTTAACAAATGAAAAAAGGATTACACACACATTCACACAAGCTCTGATGCTTAAATGCACTGGGTCCATAGAGCTAGGACAACACTCAATCACTCATTAGGGTTCAGTCTATACGTGCTTAATATATATCGCACGGAGTGCTAATCAAAGCACATTGCATGCAGTTGCAAGTGAAGAAGAAGACATTGTCAGTAGCCTGAAGAAGATTATAATATATTGCAAAAATGTTTTTGGAAGGTCAAGGATAAGGCGAATTTAATAACTGTATATGCTCTAAACCGTAACATAAATATGTAAAAACGCAGATGATAACTAATGTTTATTTTCAGAAATCCGTTCTTTTTTACCTAACAGGATCTGCAACATGAATAATCTAAACACATTGATTGATGAGAGCATTTGGCAGATTATGCCATGAGAAGCAAATTGCGAAGATTCTTTTTACTTGAAAGTTGAAATAAAAATACGCAACCAGTTGAGCTTTGAACAAATAGAAAATTCTTTGGAACTTATATTTGAGAGACTTACAGAATTCGCAACATGGGTAATTGTGATAACTCAGGTGGAAGATATCCTGAAAGGTTATTATTGTCCAAAAGCCTGTTATACAAAGATACAGAGAAATATCAAATTGAGATGCCGGCATGTGTGTTTAGCCATCTACAATATTTGTTCGTGAGGAAAAAAAGAGAACAAGCTGTATTAACTCACAAGTGAATAACAGTAGTTAAATTGGATAACTCGGGCGGGATTTGACCACTGAGGGAGTTATTGTTGAAGTGGCTGCAGATTTATAAGAGTTATCAGATAGATAACAAGGTGTTGCTTCTGAACTTTTTTTTCATCACAGAGTAACACTTTGTTGAGGTGCACTCACATATGTCCCATACTTTTCAAATGCGAAAAGGACTTTGGTATGACTCCAGATATCTGGTTCTGGTCTATCTGAAATCTATTTAGCATTGGGAGATAGCCAAGCTCATCGGGTAAAGGCCCAGATAACTTGTTTCCATTCAGAAGCCTGAAAAACGTAGCATGGTTTTTGTGTCAACACAATAGATTTTTAAAGCTGTAGTAAAAGAATCCACAAGCATCAAGCTCCACTTCTTCCTGAAAAGACAAGTTATATCCTTGCATTTCTTAGTATATGGTCTTACTCCTGGGCACTCCATATCAGCGAGTCTGGAAAGAAAAGCATGAACAAAAAATAGAACTATACAAGTCTAGATACACATGTTTAAACTTACAATAGCTTCAAATATTTGAGGTTTCCTATCTCCTTGGGTATACAATCAGTTAATTCGTTCCACATAAAATTTCTGCAGAAAATTGGACAAAAATTAAAATACAAGAAAACTAGATGGAAAAAAAACAACTTAAACTACATGGATCCATTGGAAAGGTGGATATAAGATTACACAACGTCTCTTAAACGAACTCACAGAATTTGAAGACGAGACAGCTGTCCAAGCTCGGGTGCTAATTTTCCAGAGAGATTCATATTCAATAGATGGCTGCAACATTAGAGATGAATATGATCAACAAAAGATAAAAAGAACAAGAAAATGGCACTGGAAACCACCTACATCTCCCTGATATGCAAATAGGGGCTGCCGTCTCTAGGAACACCAGAGCAAATAATTCCAGTCCAGTTTGAGGTGCAAGGATCGCCCGTCTCCCAATCATCAAGATTCTTCATGCCATCAATCAAACTTCTCTTCACTGCCCTCAAAGCAGAGACTGCCAACACATAAATTTTGGTAAATTTTCAGAAGTAACTCACTCTTTCAGATCCCAATAATCATTTTCTATGTTCCTGAACAAGAAAACATTTGAATCCCTAACCTTCAGTGGGTTCAGTAACTTGAGAAACTGAAAGCGTCAGGAAGCAAGAAAATGTAACAAGAAGAACAAATCCACAAGGCCTCACTCTGTACATCTTTAATCTCTGGCAATCATCACAACTCCAAGCTTCAATGGGGTTTGCTAATGGCAACTAAAGGAAGAGAGTTCATCCATCCTTCCTGAAAAAAAGTCTCCGCTTTAAAAGAAGGGTGGGAATCGTACCGAGGACTTTCGCTCCGGTCAAACAAGGCACGATTGTACTGGGCTTAGCCTTTAGACAGTTGAGCGCCAAAGTTGACATCCGTACTTCTTTTGAAAAGGAGTTTTTTTTGGAAAAAATGCTAGGAGTTTTGTCCCCCACCTCCTCATTATCACATAAATGGGCAAGAACTTTAAATAAAAATTAAATAAATAAAAAGTAGATAAAAATGGATGGTGGAGAAGGAGGTGGGGGACAAATGGGGTACACATTTGGTGTACCCCTAGTATTGCTCTTTTTTTGGAGGATGTTACATACCCCAAAATTTGTACCTCATTTGTACATCAAAAGGATGCACTAACAATTTGATGGTTTACACTGACACAAATTGTTGATGCGTTACCAAAAATTTACATTGACACAAAGTGTTGGTGCGTTAACAAAAATTAGCATTACATCAATACAAAATGTTGATACATCCATGCGGGGTATAAAATGGGATACAAATTCTTGGGGTACAAATAGCATTATCCGTTTCTTTTTATCCTTTCCCTCTAAACTTTTTAAAAACAAAAATGATAGAAGAGAGAAATAAAAAAGAAATGTATGGTGAATAATCTCGTGGTATACAAATGGAATACATTTTTAGTGCACCTCTTTAATTCTTCTTTTAAAATATATGCAGATTCAATTGAACTTTATAAGTTGTACCAATATCGCATAAACTTTTAAATTGTTGCACCAATAGTCCATTTGTGCCATATTTGGAAGTGTATTAATCATGTGTTCATCAATATATTGGAGCTTAATAAAAATGTCATGGATCAATGAAAAAGTAGATTGATTGATGACAAGCTTTATCAATTGATGTCCGAGCTTCGAACTTGAATAGTGACGACTAAATTGAGAATAATTTTCTATGATTTGATGAGGTAGAAGATAATGTTCCAAAACGGCATATTGTAGAACTCACGTGTGATATATGACTTTAGTAGAATATATACTTGCACTGGATGAGCGTGTCATTAACGCTCCTATATCTGGTGTCGAAAAACCATTGTTGCAATACTTTTAAAAGTTTAGGAGGCATTAATTCAATTTTAGTTTAGAGGGGTGATGGTGTAAAATACCCAATTTAATTTACCATTGTGGTTTCTTTGTGTACCAATTAAGTTGGACAAAGTATTAAAAAGATACGAAGTCAAATGGATTGTAGGTGGAACCTGTCACCCAGTAATTGTATCTGACTTTGACACCCAATTAACTTTTCTTTCACAATCCCTTTTCTCACTCTAAGATGGTATCCCCTTCTTGGGGAGTTTACACAAGTATTTATAGGGGACAAAAGGGATTATATTTTATTATTCTCTAGCCATCCCATTATCACTTCCACTATAGCCATCCTTGTGTCAGGTTGAACTTCATCCCACTGGACATGCAGCATGGGAGTTGTCACATCATTCTCACTTGTGATGTCAAACCCAAGTGAGGCTAAGATTGGTGACTTATCCACTAGTTAGTCACACGCTCTTGAGCGTATTGCTAGTGTCCATGGTCTGGTAGGCTGCCCAACTGACCGATCGCAGCAATATCGTCTACCTCGGAGGTTGTCCGGCCGGTCATCTGGGCGGTGTAAGCCATGGACTGGCTCGAAGGTTGTTAGACCAGGCTATCATGGGTTTATACGCATCAAGGAGTCCTACGCTTCCACCTTTGTGGGGACCATCAATGGTAGGAAGTTCTAAACCAGTTCTCTGCGAAATCCCGCCTGATCTAAGTTTTTAACATTTGAATTTTCCTTGCCCAATGGGCCGAGTGCTTTCTCAACTTCTAGGGCCCATCCACAATCTTACCCGTTGAACCACCTAGAGAAGTGATACTTGTGGTGTCGTCACCTCAATCGTCGTGTCGCTTCATCTCTCTAGATAATGATGGTTGCTCATTGTTGCCTCCGCCACGTGTCTTGCGCTGGTAGGATCCTTAGGGTGGCATGTCCTCTATATAAGTAGTGGCTCCTCCTTCATTTTGTCACTTTACATCTTGAAGCTTTCAAAGAGCCAATTAGGCACATTTGAGTTAACCCATCTTCTAGTTCTTTTAGTAAGCCTTCTTTCTTTCTCTCTTAACTCGTAGTTCTAACTAGGTTAATCATGTATGAGATCAAGGATAGCCAAAACGTCACTATCAACTCTCATGCTTCTGGTTCCCAACCCTCTCGAAACAAGTCAAAACAAGGCCCCCAGTTCCACTGAGGCACGAGCAGTGATTGTCACCCAATTGAGGGAGGAAGGCTATCTCTGGATAGACGACTACTCCATTGGAAAACTCCCTTTATGTATGTCCAAGGAGCACATCCACAAGCTTCGCAATCTCCTACCTGATGGCTACACTCTTTCTTACCAGAGATCTTAGGAGAGTATCATTCCTCTGAACTTGGAAAATACTCTAGGGAGTAAAACCTTCATTGTAACTCAAGCTCAACCAAGCTAAAACAAGTGATATCGAGATCATACTTTCTAAGAGTTTATCATTATACTTGTTTATGTTCTTATTTCTGCAGTTAGTAGGCTTAGGCCCCGTTTCGTTCAACTTATTTTGTCTTATTCTTATTAAAATCAAATCAGATCAGTCAAGATCAGATCGAATCAGATCAGATCAGATCAGATCACGTCCAATCAAGAATTATTATTATTATTATTATTATTATTATTACTGGGTATTATTATTATTATTATTGTTGTTGTTGTTGTTGTTCTTGTTGTTGTTATTATTATTGTTGTTGTTGTTATTGTTGTTATTATTATTATTCTTAAAAATGAAAAAGAATAATCTTTAGAAACAAGTTAAATAGAAAATTGAGAAAGTAATCCTTAATTATTAGACGTCGGAAAAATTATTTTTAAAATACATTGACAATGTTAATCTAATTGTACTTTTAAAATACATTTTTATTGCTACCTGTAATTTAAGTTTCTAAAGTTTTGATATTTTATAAGGATGAGATATTTTAATAAAAATACTATCTCTTCTATATATTGATTATCTAAATTTAATTACTTTTTAATGTATATATAAATTAAATATTTATTCTAATGTATATATGAAGTAATTATTAAAATATTAAATTAATATTCTAATTTGACAAAAAAAATAATCATAAAATAAAAAATATTATTACATTATAATATAAATGATTATTCTAATATATGAATTAACTAATTTTATTTTATTAAAAAATAATCGTAAAATAAAAAAATTGATTATATTATAATATGAATTATCATTATAATTTTCAAATGTTATTATAAAGTCAAATGAAATTATTGATTTAAATTTTAAATCAAATCATAATTAATCAGATCAGATCAGACTAGATCACATCCAATCTGATCAGATCAGATCCAATCAGATTAGAACAGATCAGATCAGAACTACAAAAAATGAGATCATATCAAAAAAGATAAATTGAATGGAACAGAGCCTTAATCTTGTCATCATTCTTATTCGAGAATATGAAACGTGTTTTAGTCTTATCAAATTAGATTTCTTATAAATTAAAGAAGCCTTCCGATATAAAAGTAGTCAAGATAGTCTTTTATATCAAGATTGCAACAAATCATTTTTTGGAAGATGCGAATGAGTCATGTTTAAATATCAAGGTAATTAGTGATCTCCAAAGAAAAAAACATGTTGTAATCTATATCTATACTTAATTTAAAATGAGGGGAAAGCTCCATTTCGTTTTTCCGCCTAAATGGCCTTCACTGTAAAATGATACTTCGTAATTGCTAAACTTGAATAGGTAAGTGTTTAATGTCAATTCGCCATTAAAAGATAATTAATTTTTTTTGATTTAACACGAACCATGTGTAATAAATTAAACACATGTGAAACTGAATAAGATGTAACGTGTGTAATAAAATAAAATGTTGAAATGGTAAGTAACACCAAAAAGGTGTGTAATAAGTTACAATATTGAAATGGTAAGAAACACCAAAAACATAATTTATATTTATAAATTAGGATGTAATTAAAAACACAGAAATGGTAAGTAACACCAAAAAAGATGTGTAATAAAATAAAATGTTGAAATGGTAAGTAACACAATAAACATAATTAATATTTACAAATTAAGATGTGATGTGTGTATAAAAATGTAATTAAAGTATATTAAATTTATGATATGGTGTTATAAAAAGTTAAATAACACTGTACCGTGTTTCATTTTAACTTCATACGTATTTTAAATAAAATAATTTCCTTATATACGGTTTTGGTAAGAATAAATAATAAATACACTGTAAGTACCTATGAAATAAATAAAATGATTTCCTTATTTCATTACGTGTTTAATAAAATGAAATATTGAAATGGTAAGTAAAACTAAAAAAGTGTAATAAATTAAAATGTTGAAATGATAAGTAACAACAAAAAACACCTGTTGGGTTGTGGAATCCGGGGGCCTAGGTAACTAGGCGGATGAGTATCGAACTAAGTCGAGTGCACAAAGTATGGTGTGCTAGTAAGAGTATTACTTAGAACTTAGGTCCCCCTTCCCTTAGAAGGGAAGAGGTTTATATACAAGTTACAGCTAGGGTTCCGACCGTTGGTCCGTAATCCAACGGTCTGGGCCCACTAAGATTGGGTTGTTCACTGGCGGCGTCCAACCACATAATTAACCCTAGGATTGCTACACAAAGTAGGTTACAAGTAGGGTGGCCATAGCAACTCTGCCAGAGGCATGTCAAGAGTCTAATCACGGGCCCCTTGATCCTGACTTCAGTCAGCTCCCTTGTCTAGGTCTGGTCTGTCGCTGCTAAGGGCCGAGGCCGAGCGCCTAACCTGTCTTCGGAAACCTCTGGACGGAAGGCCGGCCTTGGTTGCTCCGAGGATGACCGACCCTGCTGGGGCCGAATGCGCGGTATTGCCGAGGCGCTCTTCCCTGGTCCTTTGCCTTGGTCCCGCCAAGTGGGCCTGCCAAGTGGGCCTTGGCGAAGTTGGGGTGGGCCGTCTTCCTGCTGGGCTGGATACCCCCATTCCCGGGTATCCATCATGAGTCCCCTACTTTCTCGGCCGAGCGTAGCGAAGCCGAGGGAAGTAATCCAAAAAATTGAGATTTTGAATTTTTGAATTTTTGTTTTGAGAATCTTGGCCATGTGTAGGAGTCCCCCACTGCCCGACTTGAGTACTGACGAGGGTTGGGGAGTGTTCCACCTGGCAAGATTTACACGTGTCCCCTCGATTCTGAAAAATATGATTGCGCTGCTTGGGAGACGTAACGTCTCTGTACTGTTCCTTTGTCAGCCGTTCACGATGGTTCGTGATCGTACGCGTGAGGAAGCGCCACGTCTCTACGTAATTGTGCCTTTTCATTGAGTCGGGTCGGATCCCTTTAACGTATAAAATTGAGAATCTTTCCCAATCTTCCCCACTTTTGCCATTTTTGCGCCGCAGCTTTGCCGTTGATTTCGTTCACTATCTCCGTTCACTCGCCGTCGCCGTCGCCGCCCAACCTGAAGGTTAGTTCACTCTTCTCCGTTCTCATGACGTCTTCTGCTTCCAACCCTTCCACCCCCGCTGTCGACCCAGCGGCGGTTTGTTTTGCGGAAATGTACCGTCAAGATCCCTCCCTCCGCCCCGACGGTTTGATGGGAGGAATTGACCATTCTAGGGTTCTGAGTGCGGTGCCTCTCCGTACGTCCATCACCGTGGCGTCGTCGTCTCGGGCGCCGCCCTTGAAGAAGAAGAAGAAGAAATCGAAAGTTGTCCAGGGTAAGAACCCGAAATCCTTACCCGTCACCGTGCTAGAAACGGGTCTGATTACAAATACGGGTTGTCTTCTGTTGGATGTTGACTTTGACGAGGCTCTTCGCTTCGTGGGAGACGGTTATGTGGTGCGCCGACCGCACACAACCAACCATGTCTTCTCGGTGACCTGTCCCGACGCCGAGGTCGGGGTGCACGTGGCGTCCATGCGCTACAGCCTTCGCTTCCCTCCTCACGATCTGATAGTCCAATTCTTGAATTTCTACCGTCTTCTGCCGGGTCAGCTCAGTCCCCACTCCTACTATTGTTTTTCAATCTTCCTGGTTAAGTGTCACCAGAGGGGAGTCCCCTGGTCTCTGGATTTGTTCCGTTACATGTTCAAGGTTTCCAAAGTGGGGGACCATGAAGGGAATTCGTATGCCGTCGTTTCTTCCCAAGCCGAGTGTGGTATGGCCGTCTTCCCCTCATCCTTGAAAATTTGGTAGGCCAAGTTTGTCTTCATTTCTGGCTTTCCCGGGGACCGGCACCCTTTCCAAGCCAGGTTTCCCGACTGTCACACGTTTGTCCGTCATCCTCGGCCTGAGGCCACTCCCGAGCTTCTGACACACGCGCAAAAACTGTTGGAAGACTGCCGGCCTAAACCACCCCACGTGTACACGGTGTGTACGGAGCAGAACTTAGCGGAGGTGGGGATCCTTATCTCCCTCGATCGTCAGTTCGAGCTATCCGAGGCCGTACTAGGGAGTCGTCCGAAGCATGGGCTTGAGGAGAGCGCCCCGAGGTTAGAAGATCTAGAGTCGGAGGACAACGAAGAGGAAGATGACGGGGGGGCCGAAACCGACGAAGAATCAGGGAAGCCATCCTACTCCGAGGGGGTTGCTGGTATGGAACCTTCTGGAGGTCTGTCCCTCACATCAAGGTTTTTCCTGTTTGGTGTCAAGTCTTTTAACTGTTATTTTGTCTTGGCAGGAGATATGAATCCGGTGGACGTTATTCGCAAGGCCAAGCTGCTGGCTCGCAACCGAGGCCGAGGAGCAGAGGTTCAACAAGGACCTTCACTCGCGGACACAATTGGATTTGTTGCCTCGGCCCCGAATCGGGAAGTGATTCCGACCCGGAGCCAGAGAAAAAGGAAGCTCATCCAGGTCGAGGACGAGGAGGCCGTGTCCGAGCAAGATGTGGTTCTTGCCCAGAGTCCGATGAGCAAGCGCCTAGCCGGTCCTCAAGGTGGAAAATGCCCCACTTCCCTCGACAAGGCCGACGGGAATGTGCAGGCCGAGGCCGAGGCTGCTTCTCTCTCCGCGCCGCTCAAAGATGAGGACGAGATTCTTTTGTCCTTGCAAGGGCTTATGGACAGCTTCCACCAAAAGGTTAGATTCCTGATGTCCTAACTATTACTATTTGTGCGAATAACTGACTCAATTTTTCTCAGGTGTCGGCGAAGCTGAGCTTGATCAGCGAGCGCCGAGCCGGGGCCGAGTTCTCCTCTTCCGTGAACTTCTTGGCCTCGGTGGAAACGGAGCTGTCTCGCCTAAGGAAGCTGGCGGAAACCGAGCATGAACAGGCCGTCGAGCTCGAAATGCAGGCCGTGGCGAAGTCCGAGGAGGTGGTTCGGCTGCAGGGCCTTCTGAAGGAGGCGGAGGAATCAGCCTCCCAACTGACGGTTTCAATGGCCGAGCTCGAGGGGCGGCTGCGCCAATCTGAGGTCCGAATATCAGAGCTGGATGTTGAACTGGCCGAGGCTGTCTCCTCGCGGCAATCTTTAGAGGCTGAACGAGATCGGTCCCTGGCTGAGAGGGATCAAGCTGTTGCTGAGAAAGAGCGCGCCATCTCCGACTTCATCCAGTCCCCGTCCTTCAAAGAAGCCTGTCTGGAGAAAATGGTTGCTTATTACGAAGACTGGCTCGGGACCGAGGCCGGTACTGAAAAGATGGGGGTGGAAGGGACGAAGTGGTTCGAGAGCAGCGTCTATCACGGGATTCAGCTCGTCCTTCGACGGACCCGAAGAGTAGATCCGTCCTTCCCTCCGCCCGGGGTCGACATTCCAGAGATGCATGATCCCAACCTGAACGCTGAGCTCGGGGAGAACCAAGACTACCTTGGGACGCCCGAGCGCGAGGACACGGGTGCAGATGATGCCAGCGACGAACAACCCTCAAATGCCCTTCCTTAACGTTTTCCTTGTAATGCTTGCAATTTTATTCTTCACTGTAATGTTGATTTTGTTACTGTTTTGCTACATGCGTGAATAGTTGAGTAGATTTCTGACATTCTTTATTTGAATAAATTTGAATGGCGCCTTTTTAGAAACTGACTCTTTGGCTTCCCCACGCAAGCAGACCTAACCACTGGACCGTCGCATTGTGCCAAACACGTGTCACTGCGTACAGTTCCATTTCCAACCACTGCAACTGTTTAACTCCCTTAACCCTTCGCTCATGGGCCTATAAATTGGCCTTCTTCTTGCATCGTGAAATCCATCTCTTCATCCCTTGTGTTAATCTTTCCATGGCTTCCAATAATTCAAAGGAGATCGGTCCTCCGCCTTCCCAGCAGAAGACCATTCGCCGCCGTCCTCCTCCTCCGCCGGAGGATGCCGAATCTCGTACAAGTTCATGGTGGTATCGTGCAAAGAAACTGGAAAAGCGGATTAAACGTCTCCGAAGACTCGTGAATTATCTTCACGGAGTTCCCCAACAGGCAGCGTCTCCGGTTGAGCCTGCTCAGCCGGCTGCTGATGCCATCCCCGTGGGTGACAATCACTCGGAAGAGTCTGTCGGCTCTTCCTAAGTTTCCCTATTATGGCCCTCCCCTGTATATCTCCCCATGGAGGTTTGCCGAATTGGGGGGCCATCCACGTCCTTCGGTGCCCGGGCTTTGTTGGTCTTGAAGTCTATCGCGCCTTAGGACGGGGTGCCTCTACCTCCCAATGGATTTTAAAACCAGGGAAAAAGGAGGTCCATTTGGATGTAGAGCGTTTTGTGTTCTTTTCCTTTCTCAGTTCCGTCATGTAATAAATGTCGCCGGTGTTGCAACCGTATCGTGTAGGGTTTGTAATAAATGTTGTAGCTTTCGAGAATACCTTTGTAATGGAGTTTGACTCTGTGTGCAATGAATGCCTTTGTAATAAGTGCCCTGCGTTGATTATAAATATGATGCATTGTTCCTTTCTTTGTTTGTCTCTCTTTTGCAATATGGCATTAAGCCCTGGTACTCCTCCTCTTGAAGAGGGAAAGTCCTTCACTCGGGCTACTCCAGCCTGTTCTTTCATTATGGCAGATTCGTCCTTGCCCAGTTTCGCCACTGCTCCGACTGCGGTGGGGAAATGTACTGATCCCGATCTACCTTCTTTGAGCGAGGATTCTGTCCAAAGTCCTTTCTACCGAGAACCCGCCGCAACGAAGGTTTCAACGAAGTCTGGCCGTTTGATGCGCAAGGTGGGTACGAACGTGCGCGCCTATCTCAAAGGCTTTCGTCGTGCTCACTGGAAGAAAACGATCAGCGCCAACCTCAAGGCACAGTTCGTGGCCGATCATGACGCTTCCTCTGTAGATTCTTCATTTTCTGAAGAAATAAATGTGTATTTTGACCATTTGGGAAACAATGCTTCACGTTCTTGTGCCTGAATTATGATGTATTGCCGTCTTGGGCGAATTTCGTGTAATAAAATTGCCTGTGTTCTGCTTTCTTTTCTTTCTCTTTTTTTTTGCACCCCAAAGGGTTCTTTTGCGCTCACACCCTCAGCAGGGCGGCGAAAAGTGTGTCCTCAGCAGGACTGAGGTCGTGGAAGACATCCTAAGCAGGATTGCAAGTTTTTTGTCCTAAGCAGGACCTTGCGCTGCCCTTTGTACTATTAACAAGTTGTGCCCATTCGGACCTTGTTCTTCGTCTCGTTCAGAGCGCCATTTCCCTGGGTTAAGTCGTGCGGATGGGCTCCCCCCTGAAGGGACACTTGGTAACAGGCATTGCCGAGTGGCGAGACGGTTGGAATGTGTTTCTTGTGATGTGTGTGGGAGCACAAAGGGACTTAGTTCGCGTAAAGCGAAAGACCGCGTGAGGCCAAGAAATCGTGGCGTGGGAGCCCGATAGCGCTAAGCAGCGTCTATAAACTGCGTAAAGCAAAAAACAGAATTCGCGTGGAAGCGAGTATTTCATTAAGTAGAATTTTTTTTTAGCTACCGAGGCCGACTGGTTACGGTTCTCAGTGCCTTACATGTAGAAAGAAATAAGATTGTGCGTGTTCCAGTGCCTGCCGAGTTCGCGACCTTCAAGCGTGGAGAGCTTGTAGGTGCCTGGCCTGAGCACAGCTGTGACCTTGTATGGTCCTTCGTAGCTTTTGGCAAACTCTCCCCCTTCTGTAGGCTGACTGGCTTCCCTTTTCCTGAGTACCAAGTCCCTTACTCGGAATTCCCTTGCTCTGACCTTGCGGTCGTAATATTCTTTGACTTGCCTTCGGTAGTTCTCTGCTCTGAGGAAAGCTCGTTCTCGTCGTTCTTCAACGAAATTGAGATCGGCCGCCATGGTTTCCTCGTTCTCCTTGGCTTCATAATTTTCTTCTCTCCATGTTGGGATGAACACCTTCGAGGGTGCCCTCGCTTCCAGGCCATAGCACATGGAAAACGGCGTTTCTCCAGTCGCCCCCCTCAGAGTGGTACGGTATGCCCATAGCACGTTGGGGAGTTGATCTACCCACGCTCCCTTGTAGGATTCAAGCCTCTTCTTGATCCCGTCCATGATTGTTCAATTGGCGTTCTCTACTTGGCCGTTCCCTTGCGGGTATGCCACAGAGCTGTAGGTGTGCCTTATCTTCCAATCTCCCAAAAGTTCATTGAAATCTCCAGCTTCGAATTGGGTTCCGTTGTCTGTAGTGATCTGCTTTGGGACACCATACCGACAGAGTATGTTGTTGCTCACAAACTTTAAGCATTGTTCTGAGGTTCCTCCCACTAAAGGCTCGGCCTCGATCCACTTTGTGAAGTAATCGATGGCCACAATGATCCAACGGAAGTTACCGGGTGCCCTCGGCATCAGACCGATCAAGTCTATCCCCCAATGAGCAAAGGGAATCGACGAGCTGATGGGATAATAGCTGGTTCCTGGTCTTCCCGGAATGTTCTGGAAAATTTGGCATACCTTTCAATGCTTGGCGCGCTTGGCACAGTCCTTCACCATGGTCGGCCAGAAGTATCCCTGCAGGACAATGCGTCTGGCCATGGAGAAAGGACCTTGATGTGCCGCGCATATTCCTTCGTGGACCTCTTCCATGATCTGCCCCGCTCTGGCTTCGTCGACACACCTCAGCAATGTGCCTTTGTATGATCTCTTGTATAGTCGGCCATTCTCAATGACATCCGCTGGCTTCCTCGGTGACAACAGAGACGAGTTGCACGTGAATGCTTGGAGACCCCAAGTCTTCAATATGAGCCATCTTGGAGATGTGCTCGGGGCTGTCGTTGCTTAGTTTAGAGAGGACGTCGGCCTCGGTGTTTTCCGCCCTCGGGATCTGCACGAGCTCGTATCCTTTAAGGATTTTGAGCAATTCCAAGGCCGCCTCCTTGTATAGACGCATCCGTTCCTCCTTGGTGTCGAACTCCCCTTTGATTTGACTGACGACCAGGCGCGAATCGCACCTGATCCAGACGTACTCGGCCTTTAGGTTGAGGATGAGCCTCAGGCCGCTCAGTAACGCTTCATGCTCGGTTTCGTTATTGGACACTTTGAATTGGAATTTTATTGCATGATAGGAGCGGAATCCTTCAGGTGATTGGATTACCACGCCCCCACCGCAAGCCTTTGCAGCTGACGATCCGTCAGTAGACAAAGTCCACCACTCTCCCTGCTCCGCCATTGGTATGGGGTTGTTGTCACGTGCCGTACATTCCACCATGAAATCGGCCAAGGCTTGAGCTTTGATTGCTGCCCTCGGCTTCATCTCTATCTGATACTTACTCAGATAGACAGACCACTTGATGACCCTGTTAGAGGCCGTCGGATTACTGATGATGATGCTCAGAGGCTGATGACTCCTCACTTCCACTTCGTGGGCTTGGAAGTAATGGTTCAGCTTCTTGACCGTGTTGACGACGGCCAAGATTGTTTTTTCCACCACTGAGTATCTGAGCTCGGCATCCCTCAAAGTTCTGCTAACATAATAGATGGGGCGCTGAGCATCCCCTTCTTCCCGTAACAAAACGGAACTTATGGCTCCAGGGCTGACGCCCAAGTAAAGGTACAGCTTCTCGCCCTTGATCGGCTTTGCTAGCACCTGCGGAGTTAATAAATACTTCTTCAGCTCTTCGAATGCCGCCTGGCACTCGGATGTCCACTGGAATTGTGGAACCTTCTTCAGCGTACCGAAGAAAGGGATACTCTTCTCGGCGGATTTTGATAAGAATCGGCCGAGTGCGGCCATCTTCCCCGTCAGGCGCTGCACTTCTTTTA